TTCCATTCCATGGAGAGCGCATCGACTTGGAGTGCTAGTGGGTCTGGTACTGGGCTGACGTAGACTGGTAGTTTGTTGTTGAGACATGTGGCAAATAGATCTATGTTTGGAGTGTCCCATATCTGGGTTATCCACTTGAACACCTCGGGATGTAGTGACCAGTTTGTGGGTACTATCTTATTCTTCCGGGATAGGTAATCTGCTAGTATATTTAGCTTGCCCGGAATGTGTCTTACTTCGATCTTGCAACTCACTGAGTCTACCAAGGCATATAAACGTGTAACCTCCTTCAGTAAAGGCTGAGATCTTGTGCCCCCTTGGTGCTGTATGTAAGCGACCACGGTTGAGTTGTCTGTAGCGATCTTCACTGACGAGTGGTGTAGACGATTTAGCCAAGCTGTTAATGCTAGATATATCGCTCTCATTTCTAGACAATTGATGTGTAGCTCTTTGTCTTGGGAGGACCATTTCCCTTGAATGGTGACATCGTCCATATGGGCACCCCAACCCTCTCCTGATGCATCTGTGTAGAGTTGATGTAGGGGGGTGGGGTAGTTTAGTGGAATACCTGGCATGACATTTTGACGATTTAGCCACCAAAGGAGTTCTGAGGTTCGAACTTGTGGGGGTTTCGATTAGTGCTTCCAGCTCTAGGTTCTTGGTGGTGTTCATCCAAATCTGCAATGGCCATAATTGTAGCCTGCCTCTGTAGGTTAGGTCTTGGATAGATGTGAGCGTGCCTAGGCAAGACATCCACCAGCGTCTCGACTTGACGGGCTGATCAAGCGAGTGCGCTTGTAATCATGCTCTGTACTCTTGCATATCTGTCCTCTGGGGGTGCGACTATGCCCTTGTCGGAATAAATCTTGCGCCTATGTAGGTGATGACCTGTGTGGGTGCTAGCTCTGATTTTTGAGCGTGAACCAGGAAACCTAAGTTTGTGAGAAGTTGGATGAGACTGTGTTTAGACTGAGTTATGATTTGTCCTGATCGACCGATAGGAAATCGTCGATATATCCATGAAGCCTTATGAGATTTAGATGGGCGAAACCAATGACGGGATTGGTGATCCTGGTGAATAACCATGGGGCGATGGATATGCCAAATGGTGGTACCCTGAACTGGTATCTCTGACAGCGAATCGTAGGTATCGACGATGACTTGGATGGATCGGGACGTGAAGATATGCGTCTTGGAGATCTATGCTTATCATCCAATCTGCTTGTCTTAGGGAATTCTTCAACTTCTTTATAGATTCCATCTGAAATGTGGGTGGTTTTTCCAGGTAATCTTTGTTCAGAGTTTTTAGGTCTATTATTAATCTAAACTCTGAAGAATTCTTCTTCGGTACCAGGAAAACTGGAGAGTAGAATCCGAGGGAGGTGTCTGATTCCTTTAGGGTCCTGATAGCTACTTTTGTGAGTAATTTTTGTATAGCTACTTCTGCTGCGACAAGCTTCGGTCCTGATAGCTGGAATCGGGGTCCGGTAGGATGAATGACTAGTTTTGGTTGTTTTAAGAAGTGAAGTTTGTAGCCTCTTCTTATTACTTCGAGTAACCATGAGTCGTCTGTGATGGTCTCCCAGTTGTCTGCATACTGCATAAGACGGCTTCCAACTGGTCCCGGAATAGGATGAGATTTGAACTTGGGTAGTCTTGGGTCAATGTTTGTAAGATTGGCTAGTTCGAAAGGATTTGGAGTAGACGTGTCCTTGGTCTTCCGTAATTCTAACTCGTTGTCCGTAGGGCAGGCGAAGTCGGTAGGATCTGGATGGGTCTGTAGATTTATGGTGGAGTCATTTCCGAGGGGGGCCCCTACGGGAACTGCCTCTTCCTCTGCCAAGTCCTCTCTGTGAAGTGGGAAGATCAACTCTGGAGTTCTTGTACCTGGGTTGATACGATCTGTTTCTCTGAGTAGAGGCTCGAAAAGAATTCCGGTTGGACTGTTCGCGTCGGGGTCCAGGACTCTGTCGCTGGGGTCGAGTAACTGCCGGTTGTCTCTGTAACTTGGATGCTAACGAGATGGTGGATTCCTGAAATTTCTGGTTAGTTGACGAGATAATGGCTTCCTTCACCGACTTCAGTCTACCGTTGAAAATCTGCGATGACGTAATGGGCTGTGACATCATGGATCTCTTTAAAGGGTCTGGCATCACATGATGAACTTGCTGTAGTAAGTGTCTTCTTTGCATGAGTAGAAACTGCGCTGACATCCATACTTGAGATGATAGGAGGTCTTCCTGCATCTTCAGTATGTGGTCTAATGAGCTGTGGATAAATCCCGTCTTCTGACTAGTCATCTCCGTGGAAGTGTCTAAGGGAAGATCATCGCTCTGGTTGTACGGGGGTATGACATGGCGAATACCAGCTGCTAACCAGTTGATGTAAGAACTGGTATTAATCATTTGTTTATTGACCTTATCTAAGCTCTTGATCTGGGACATATCAATGCGCATATTGGGGTTAGGTTTCTTAACCAGATCGAAGTAATCTTCGTCAATGCTAGGCTGTAGTGTGAACGGATCATCATGTGTTTTGTAAGCAGATCTAATATAGATAGGCCTCAGTTTAGCACTAGGACCCGCTGAAAAGTTCAATTGATTTTCAGTTCTCTTGATGACATCATCCAAATATGACGGAGGGGGAAGCGTATGGAATGGTTCGGTCCCCTTATCGGGTCGCTCATATCCTGCACGTTCAATCAAGGGTTTAACGGGTGTACTGTCCTGGTCTGGTTTTAAGGTGGGCATTAGTTCATAAAGTTCTGCTATGATATCTCTAAGGGAGTAATTGTTTGATCTATAATCCTCCTCTATAGCAGTGTCCCCATAGCCTGAATACTCAGGTGTAGATCGGCACCCCCTACTCTGGCTGGGCTGGGAGTGGGTCGTATGGCTGAGGGTATCGTAATCCCGGTCGTCTGATTTACGGCAAGCTGTGCGGGAATCACGTGGTCTATAACTGTATGGTGATGTCATATTTCCCTCGCTTTCTTCGCCCGTATAACAGGACTGTGTGGCAGTATGAGAGGGTGCACGCTTAGGATTACTATCCTGATATGCACAAGCTTTGTCGGTGCGTCTATCATAGTGGCTTGACGGTGATTGGTGCGTATTTCTGTGCATACTGCGGTGTGAAGACCGTGATTCACGATGAGCCCTGTGATGTGCGTGGTAGGGAGAAGATCTATGAGATTCTCGCTCTCTTAGTATAATTCTCCTACTGTCCTCATAGTCTGATTCAGCGTAACCTTGTACATGTCTCCTGTATGAGGGTGTACTGCCATATTCAGCCTTAGATCTCTGTTTACTCTCGTGATCAATCCCTGATTGGCCAAGCCGGGTTTGATTAACTGATTCTTTTAGATCTGAGATTTCTCGAGACATAGATTGCATGCGTGTGTCAATCATAACAGACATTGAATTTGTTATTCTTTCCGTGAACTCATTTACGTTAAAGGGGGAACGCGGCAGAGGGTGAAAATCGTTAGTTTCTGTCCAAACTCGACGATCGACCGTACCAGACGTTGCCGGATGCAAGTTAGAGGCACTTTCTGTTTGACCAGTAACATGCATCTGCTCCTCAACATTATTGGGAGAGTGGGATGTGCGACGGGGTCTCTTCTCCTCATAAGGTGAGACGGCCCCCTCGCGCGACACTCGCTTGTCACCCCCGTGATTAATTTTGGCCGCCACGGGCTTAATCACTTGTTTTCTTGATGTAGATGCTCTAGTGACCGTTTTATAATCGGGATTTTTGATCCATGTCTTGGAGAGCTTGTCAAATTTTTCTTTTGACAGATGCTCGTAATAACTGCACCTTGACCTCTGTGTACAGCTGCTTTTCTTGCATGCGAGACATCTAGGGTGAGGACCCCCAGGAGCTTGGTGTTGTCCACAGCCCGAACAGACAGGTGTCTGCTTATGAGATGAAGATCTCATCCCACAACACTTTTCTTAACTAATTACTTACTAGAGACTCCGATCTTCTATACCCCCGTTCTGCTAGTAGAACTGCTCTTTGCTTGTGGTCTATAAAGCTTGAGACGATCTATCTTGTATGTGGAACTCAATCACGTGTTCGGATGTGCAACAAAAAAATTTCCTTGTTGTCATCAGGACACACAGGAAAGAAGTGACTAGATTCCCGCCTTACGCATGCGCAGTGGCGCCTCTGGCAAGAGATAGGGTTTCCCTCACAACTATGGATTTGTTGGCAGTATAGTGGACGTCTGTTGAAAATTTATAAAAAATTATAGTGTGGTTCTCAGCATAAACAGGAATTTATGGCACTGATGTGATAGAGGTGAGGTATTCACAAGAATTATTGTAATTGAGGACATGACTTTGTTCATCAATTTCCTCGCTGGATGTTTCCGATGTGTAAACAAAGGAATAATGGTGGAGAAAAATGACATTTTCAGGTCTAAGGGATTGTATTTCCGATGTGGATCAGTAACATGTTGAACCATACTACCATATGTCACTAAATGACAAATTATGTCTCTGACTTTTAGCACCTGTTTTATATTTAATTGTTAATTTTGAAGGATAAAATTAAATGATCAGTTAACCAGAGTATTGGGATATTTATTACAGTATTCTGTTAATCAATCACTGGTGGAATTAATCTGCCTATGTAAAGTATCTAGTATCTAGTGTATCTAGTATCTGTCTGTCTGTCTGTCTGTCTCTTACACCCTGACATGTCATACACTAAATTATATTTGTTACATCATGAGACATTTAGGATCTTACCTAGTTACTCGTTGCTATACATTATGATAATCACATTATAGTAATTTTACGAGACTTGTACCTAAGAATGGGGGATCTGCATTGTACACACAAGATAATAGGATACTTGAAACATGGAATTACAGACTTTCTGACCCTCATGAAAAAATGTCCCTCAACAATGGCCGGGGCTTACACCATTCATATTAGGAAAAGTAATTTGTACTTCCTCGATGCTCATTGTTTATTCTGTAATTGACTGACCTCCGTGTCCGAGTGGCTGCCACCACCTAAAGGTGGTGTGGTTGGTCTTGGCGCCCGCGGGGAGTTCCACCACCACCACCTGTGTGGTGGAGTTGTACAGCTGGGGCTCGATCACCTTCAGGATGTTCCAGGTGATCTGGTTGTCTGTCGAGTAGTCCACCACGATGCCCTCATTACGGTTCTCCGGCTGGCGACACCCAAAACTGTTTTGTGGGCTCCCTATCTTCAGCACAAACTGTAGCATCCTACAGCACAGATAGACAATAGTGAGTGAGTGAGTGAGTGAGTGAGTGAGTGAGTGAGACAGATTAACCTCAGTAATATGAAAGAATAAGGTGATTCATAGTGATCGTAGCGCTAAGATGGTTGTAACTCCCATACTTTAACACAGGCTTGTGACAGTTGCAGCGCTAAGATGGTCGTAACTCCCATACTTTAACACAGGCTTGTGACAGTTGTTTTTGTTTTGTTTGTTTGTTGTTTAAAGCCACACTCAGCAATATCCCAGCTATATGACGGCAGTCTGTAAAAAATTGAGTCTGGACCAGACAATCCAGTGATTGACATCATGAGCATTGATCCTGTGAGAGTTGTAGCGCTAAGATGGTTGTAACTCCCATACTTTAACAAAGACTTGTGACCGTTGTAGCACTAAGATGGTTGTAACTCCCATACTTTAACACAGACTTGTGACAGCTGTAGTGCTAACATGGTTGTAACTCCCATACTTTAACACAGACTTGTGACAGCTGTAGTGCTAAGATGGTTGTAACTCCCATACTTTAACACAGACTTGTGACAGTTGTAGCGCTAAGATGGTTGTAACTCCCATACTTTAACACAGACTTGTGACAGTTGTAGCGCTAAGATGGTTGTAACTCCCATACTTTATCACAGACTTGTGACAGTCGTAGCCCTACAGTCGTCTTGTGGAACTGGGCCAAGGCAATCAAGATACTTCTCATGTGCAACTACAAAGAAACCACTCCCTACCTGAGACCGGTTGTATCGAGGGGGTCTGTGACAGCCTCCCTGGTTCCCTCCCCATTGAAGTACAAGGAGTTACCATATTCCACCACGCCACACCCGCGACCCAGGTACCCGCCCATGATCTTCTGCCAGTAGGCCGTAGGTTGGTTCCTGTTGTCGAACCTGTCCAGCATTCCAGATGGACTTGGCTCGTCGGCCTGACAACCAGGACCTGAGTATACAGAAAACACAAATGCAGTCTCAGGCTCTGAAACTAGAGAAATTCTAGTGGGCTTTTAAAGGAGTGAGTGAGTGAGTGAGTTGGGTTTAACACCGCTTTTAACAATATTCCAGTTATATCGCGGCGTGTCAGCTTAATGTGGGAAGAAAGCCCGAAGTGATGCAGGTCTCAGACGTTTACCACTTCGGTGAAACCCACGAGCACGGGTATGGTGCTGACAAACCTAGAAACATAATCGGGGCGAACCGGGATTCGAACCCACAATAATAGGTTTCTGGCGTGCCCAAGGGACGCAACTCTGCACAGCGAATCGCGGAGCCTTAGACGACTGGGCCACCAATGCCCCCCCTTTTAAAGGAGACTGTGCTCAAGGACCTGGTGCCTATTTCAGGTCTAGGTCTAAAACATTGTAATTGGGGACCAGTGAGGCATTGTCACTGTTTAGTTAAGGCATTCATTCAGTGTGAGATTGATGTACATCATAAAATGTGAATTCGCATACAAATTTTGAATGATTTGCATCAAATTTGATAGGATTGCCAATTTGAGCATTCTTAATGTCCCTTTAATACATTTCTTGATTTATAAAAACAATAATATTCTGCCCCCTTGCTGTTTTGTACCATATACTACATGTCAATCACAACTGTATTTACGCATAGTGCGAGTCAAAGTATGGTATTTATGATATATGTATCCATTCTCTGTCAACTAAAGTTTGTTTCAAGGCATCAATAGCGGTAATCTGACCGTGGTTGCTGTAAATAACGAGTTGCGTGATCTTCCAACGCTTCACACACGATATTGCCAAAACTAATTTATTAACCAGATATTAAAAAGAAATTTTGAATAAAATTAATGAAATAAGTTAAAAAATCCAGTTATACAATGAACACTTTTTATAACCAGACAGTGTAATTACAAGATTACATTGTGTACAGATTTGTTGACATGGTATTTCCGGCGTTACATGCTCACGGTAATGTCTTTGCGTTGTGGGAAAAAAACATGAAAACTTATAGCGTGTATAATGTGGGCCTCCTTCTACACAGCTGTAATTTTTGTGCACTATAGTCAAGAAAATACGGTGTACATGAACGGGTGACAGTGTCTGTGTGAATGAGTGTACTGAAAACCATGGTGTCCTGTATTCTCTCAACTTCAGCTTCAATCTTTCCTGGGAAAAAGCTCCTAACTAGATGACTACAAGACTCCACTCTCCATGGGTGCCAGTGTAGTAGATGCTGCCCTCAACATGGCGGCCATCACAGTCATGTATTCTCTCAACTTCAGCTTCAAGCTTTCCTGGGAAAAGCTCCTAACTGGATGACTACAAGACTCCACTCTCCATAGGTGCCAGTGTAGTAGATGCTGCCCTCAACATGGCGGCCATCACAGTCTAGTATTCCCTCAACTTCAGCTTCAAGCTTTCCTGGGAAAAAGCTCCTAACTGGATGACTACAAGACTCCACTCTCCATTGGTGCCAGTGAAGTAGATGCTGCCCTCAACATGGCGGCCATCACAGTCATGTATTCTCTCAACTTCAGCTTCAAGCTTTCCTGGGAAAAGCTCCTAACTGGATGACTACAAGACTCCACTCTCCATAGGTGCCAGTGTAGTAGATGCTGCCCTCAACATGGCGGCCATCACAGTCTAGTATTCCCTGAACTTCAGCTTCAAGCTTTCCTGGGAAAAAGCTCCTAACTGGATGACTACAAGACTCCACTCTCCATTGGTGCCAGTGAAGTAGATGCTGCCCTCAACATGGCGGCCATCACAGTCATGTATTCTCTCAACTTCAGCTTCAAGCTTTCCTGGGAAAAGCTCCTAACTGGATGACTACAAGACTCCACTCTCCATGGGTGCCAGTGTAGTAGATGCTGCCCTCAACATGGCGGCCATCACAGTCAAGTATTCTCTCAACTTCAGCTTCAAGCTTTCCTGGAAAAAGCTCCTAACTGGATGACTACAAGACTCCACTCTCCATGGGTGCCAGTGTAGTAGATGCTGCCCTCAACATGGCGGCCATCACAGTCATGTATTCTCTCAACTTCAGCTTCAAGCTTTCCTGGGAAAAAGCTCCTAACTGGATGACTACAAGACTCCACTCTCCATGGGTGCCAGTGTAGTAGATGCTGCCCTCAACATGGCGGCCATCACAGTCATGTATTCTCTCAACTTCAGCTTCAAGCTTTCCTGGGAAAAAGCTCCTAACTGGATGACTACAAGACTCCACTCTCCATGGGTGCCAGTGTAGTAGATGCTGCCCTCAACATTGCGGCCATCACAGTCATGTATTCTCTCAACTTCAGCTTCAGGCTTTCCTGGGAAAAAGCTCCTAACTGGATGAATACAAGACTCCACTCTCCATGGGTGCCAGTGTAGTAGATGCTGCCCTCAACATGGCGGCCATCACAGTCATGTATTCTCTCAGCTTCCTTCCTAACTGTAACAGGACTCCAGAAATATAATTACAAAAAACAAACTGTCACTGACCTGATGTTCCATCGAAGCAGTCACAGGTGGCCCGGTGACACAGGCCATGGCGTAGGCAATGTTGCGGACAGGGAGGGCCGATGTAGACGTCGTCAATGCTGAAGCTGTGAGCCATACCACCTGGCTGATACCATCGGAATATCACTGGGCTGAGACAGCAGAACATGGTGAACAGTTTCAACAAATACTGAGTGATTCTGTATACAGGCAATATGAAAGACTTGGCAATCTTCCCTATCATTAAGATGAAGAAAACATACCATATTCGACGTAATAAGCGCCCAGGGCGCTCTAAAAATTAGAAATAGGGGGCTCTTATTAGAATATAATTTTAGTGAGATAAAAATGGTGAGTTGAAAGATTGTAAATTTTGTGATTTATGCTGACAGCCTGAAGTGATATGAAAGAAGAATCTGTGGGTATTATACACGATAGATATATTTTCAAGAATTTAATTGCCCATAATTAATACACATATCATACACGAATAAATAAGTCTTGTGTACATTGATCAATTGGAAGGGGTGCTAATTGGGATTGTTCACAAGCCAATGTATATGAAAATATCGCCATGGCCGCTTATTCGAGCGGGGCGCTTATTACGTCGAATACGGTATTTAGTAGACTTGAGTTAATTAAAGAAAGAGTACATCGAAACCTGTACATACCTGCAGAATAGGGCTGGGATGGGTAACTCGGGTACTCGGGTCGGGTGGGTACTGAGTAGAACCCGGGTACCCACAGGACTACCCAGACCCATGGTTAGTCACGTGATATATAGTTTAATGACAAAAATTATCTAGAACTCTATGGTTACACTACAAGTCACTAGTGTTCGCATTTCTTTCTGACTGTGCACCTATTCCTTCTGACATTTATAGGTTTGAATAAAGATAAAACTTCAGTGTATACATGACCAGATCGTTTTATATGTGTATCTAAATACGTTTTGTCATGGCTACGGTTAAACTGTTCCCAATCAGATGGTTTGTACCCATCTCTCGAGACCCACAGCGAGTACCCGGGTAGGCTCACGTAATAGCGGGCTGGGTACCCAGGTAGTAAATTTGGACTCATCCCAGAAAATACCGGGAAAATACAGCAGAAAATAGCATTTTGCTACAACTTTACGAATAGTATTCAATAAAACTCAAAAGAAGCTACAGGACACCCGATCGTTTCACATCACTATCGTTAATCTGTCATGGCAATCAGGTTAATCTGTCTTTAACTTCTTTTGAGTAGTCTATGATATACTCTAGTGTATCCATACATGATCGACTCGTGAAGATCCAAGGTAGAATAGGTCTTCAGCAACCCATGCTTGCCATAAAAGGAGACTATGCTTGTTGTAAGAGGCGACTAACAGGATTGGGTGGTCAGGCTCGCTCACTTGGTTGATGCATGTCATCGTATCCCAATTGCATGGATTGATGCTCATGATGTAAATCACTGGATTGTCTGGTCAAGATTGGACTCGATTATTTACAGACCACCAGCATATAGCTGGAATATTGCTGAGTGCGGCGTTAAACAACAAACCAACCAACCAACCATACATGATCACATACCATACCATCATAAACGGAACATTTGGTGAATCGTTAATGATGACCTTTTGTGTTCAGTGAGTGAAATCAGATTCCCTACACTCAGCAATCTTTCATTAGCATTTTGACCAAATATGCAGACTCACAAATGCCTCCAATAACAGCTGAAGTAGCACTATATCACTCTGAATCACAAACCACTGGCAGGTCACTAAATGTTTGTTTGTTTGGTGTTTAAACCCGCTCTCAGCAATATTCTACCTAAATGATGGCAGTCTGTAAATAATTGAGCCTGGACCAGACAATCTTGTGATTGATATCATGAGCATAGATCCACGCAATTGAGATACAATGACATTCATCAACCAAGTCAGCGAGCCTGACCACCCAATCCGGCCTCTTATGACAAGCATAGTTGCCTTTCACGGCAATAATGGGTAGCTGAAGATCTATTCTATCCCGGATCTTAATGGGTCAGGTCACTAAATGCTTTGGAGTGAGTGAGTGAAACCAACTACCACAGGCATTGTGCTGACAGACCAAGGATCATAATTGGGACATAAACTAGGATCAGCAGATTCTGTCATGTGTAAGGGCAACAACTCTGCATAGCTTTGACCACTGGGCTAACAACTGCAACAAAGCTGTACAACTCACTGCATGGCAACATCGGTCTTGACAGGGATGACGACGAGACTCCACTCTCCATGTGTGCCGGTGTAGTAGATGCTGCCCTCAACATGGCGGCCATCACAGTCCTGCTCCTGGTAGCATGGCTCCGTCACCAACTGCCATGTCCGTCCTCCATCATGGCTGTACTGCAGGTATACGGGGTGGTCCCATCGGAAGATCTTACCACACCCCACGTTGATCTGTAATAGTAGTCAAATATAGAACTGCAGGTACATTGGGAGGTCCCATCAGAAGATCTTACCACACCTCACATTGATCTGTAATAGTTGTCTAATATAGAACTGCAGGTACATTGGGAGGTCCCATCAGAAGATCTTACCACACCTCACATTGATCTGTAATAGTAGTCAAATATAGAACTGCAGGTACATTGGGAGGTCCCATCAGAAGATCTTACCACACCTCACATTGATCTGTGATAGTTGTCTAATATAGAACTGCAGGTACATTGGGAGGTCCCATCAGAAGATCTTACCACACCTCACATTGATCTGTAATAGTTGTCTAATATAGAACTGCAGGTACATTGGGAGGTCCCATCAGAAGATCTTACCACACCTCACATTGATCTGTAATAGTAGTCAAATATAGAACTGCAGGTACATTGGGAGGTCCCATCAGAAGATCTTACCACACCTCACATTGATCTGTAATAGTTGTCTAATATAGAACTGCAGGTACATTGGGAGGTCCCATCAGAAGATCTTACCACACCTCACATTGATCTGTAATAGTAGTCAAATATAGAACTGCAGGTACATTGGGAGGTCCCATCAGAAGATCTTACCACACCTCACATTGATCTGTAATAGTAGTCAAATATAGTACTGCAGGTACAAGGGGTGGTCCCATCGGAAGATCTTACCACACCCCACGTTGATCTGTGATAGTTGTCTAATATAGAACTGCAGGTACATTGGGAGGTCCCATCAGAAGATCTTACCACACCTCACATTGATCTGTAATAGTAGTCAAATATAGAACTGCAGGTACAAGGGGTGGTCCCATCGGAAGATCTTACCACACCCCACGTTGATCAGTGATAGTTGTCTAATATAGAACTGCAGGTACATTGGGAGGTCCCATCAGAAGATCTTACCACACCTCACTTTTGATCTGTGATAGTTGTCAAATATAGAACTGCAGGTACATTGGGAGGTCCCATCAGAAGATCTTACCACATCCCACATTGATCTGCAATATCAGTCCAATATAGAACTGCAGGTACATTGGGAGGTCCCATCAGATCTTACCACACCTCACGTTGATCTGTAATAGTTGTCAAATATAGAACTGCAGGTACACGGGGTGGTCCCATCAGAAGATATTACCACACCCAACATTGATCTGTAATAGTAGTCAAATATAGAACTGCAGGTACAGAGAGAGGTCCTATCAGAAGATCTTACCACATCCCACGTCTGATAGACGTGCATGGGCTTTATTTGATATATTTGTTTCAGGGTCTGTACGACAGACAATGGTTCCGGGTCAGCACAAGACTACCCAAAGCAGTTAACAGCTGAAGGCTCAAATGTTTAACATATACTCACTACCAAAAGAAACCTGACTACCATACATGTTGGTTAACATATGAAGAATCACTCTTATTCAAGAGATATTATACTATAAAGCAAACGTTCTTGTGATATACAATACACAAAGAGGATCAGTCAAACAATTGTACTGCTGTGTATGGAATTATAGAACATAGAAGAATAATGTCTGAGGGTATGTAACGACCAACAGTCCATATAAGGAGTGCTCCTACCACATGCAAATGAGTCAGGTCACCAGAGAAGGTTCAGAGGCATGTTCACCCAGTCAGTAGCCAGTGCTTCCACCTTGTGCATTGAAGCAGGCCTAACACCTTTGCTTCACTGAGACCATTACCACACCCACGTTGATCTGTGATAGTAGTCCAATATAGAACTGCAGGTACATTGGTAGGTCCCATCTTACAACATCCAACATTGATCTGTGATAGTAGTCCAATATAGAACTGCAGGTACATTGGGAGGTCCCATGAGGAGATCTTCAGAGGCATGTTCACCCAGTCAGTAGCCAGTGCTTCCACCTTGTGCATTGAAGCAGGCCTGACAACTCTGCTTCACTGAGACCATTAAGTGAAGAAAAGTCTGGGCAATGACATTCCATATGTGAGGAAGGATAATCTGGACTTCCTGCAACGTTGTTGTTGGATTTAGAAAACATCTCAAAGATTGTTTCATTTCATTCTTGATGTGCTCATTTGGTGTCAAATCAGGGGCTCTTGCAGGCCAGGTCGACACATGAATATTCAGAAAGATCCTTGACTCATTTATGAAGATGACCCTCCTCCACCAACCTACTGTCCACCGCAAGTGTTGTCGACACCAATGGAGATATCGACGTTCTGCCGTCAGGATTGGCCGTCTGGCTGGGCACCTCACTCGTAAGCCATACATGTGTGGACGTCATTGGACCGTCTTTCCAGATATGCCTCTGTTTCCAAGGAGATACAGGCTGTAAAAGTTGCTGTCGGGAACCTGTGTCGAGCTGTGTGGTTCGAATCCAGAGGTCCTGGTAGGCGGCCACTACAAGGATGGTTGTTGGTTGCATCTAGCTTTTTCACAAACATTTTCCCTGGTACAAATCCAAACCTCCATAAAAAAATCAATGTCACAATAACTTTTGCCTCTAAGTATAGATTGGTTCGATGCACAAACGAACATACTGGTATGTTGTGTGTATCCAGTGCCTATTAACGCAGTACATGTGACGTGATGGATACTTGACTCTGGATGTATTTTTTGTCTCGTGCAGGATTAGCCCGTAAAGTTTGGAAATCATGGCAGCATATTGTGATAAGAGTAAAGAGACTCTGTGGTAACACTTGATTGATTGTTAGTTTTGTCATTAATTGGTAAACATTGGAAACATCTCTTCTTAACGTAATACTTCTCCATATGTTTCTATGGTTCGTGTTTCTTTTAGTAGCAAGTATATAAAAAATCGGTTTTGCAATCATAGGAAGTTTTTGGCCAGTCCGACCTACCCGGAACTGTATGACATCATTCGGTTTTAGCGCCAGATCTTTGGTGATGACAATCTTGTCGTTGGGTTGGTTGCCAAGGACCAGACCTGGGTTGGTCTGCTGACAGTATTTCCCAACCACGCCCTCCGTCACTGTCAGCCAGTTGCCAGATTCCAGGGGATCAGGGTGTCTCTGAAACAACAGAAAGCTGATATAAAATAAATCGGAAAAATTAACTTTGGAAAATCTTAATGCAAAACAAAGACGAGGTTGTACCAATGCACAACAAATCACCAAATTTCAGATGCCTGAAATTTTTAGACGCCTTTTCCTAAATGACAAGGGTATCAATGTTAAGTTTTAAACTTAAACGTTATTTTTATGATGATAATTAGCAAAGCAACAAAAACAAAACAATCAATTTGACAGCAAAGACAAAAAAAGTTCAATTTCATGAAGTTTCATATACCTCAAAATCATCTTCAATGAACCTCCTGCGTTCATAATGACCGATGATAATTTCATCAACTGCCCACTGATCTTGACCTTGACCTGAGTGGGATGGCTGCCACCAACGGAATCGAGTGCTGGGGTTCTGGGCCTCTGTAGGCAGGTCAATGTGCACAAACCTGGTAGAGACAATTCATCAAAACAATGAAAAGGAAAGGAAAAGAAATATTGGTACTACAAGTACTTAGCTGAATGTGTCTGTCATAAAGAAGACTACAAAATGTAACTCAAGTTCCTTTCTGAATACAAAAATGTAACCTTGCTGAAATCATTATAAAGAAAATTTCAGAATGCAATAGTAGTGAGTGTGGGTACATTTCTGATGCTGACTCCCTTCCCTACTGGTACTTTGTGTGGGATGCTGGTATTCCTCTATGGTGAGGTACTGAGACTCACCGGGGCCGCTGGTATTCCCGGTGGTGGATCTCCTCCAGCAGCTTCCAGGTGATGCCTCCGTCCACAGAGAACTGCAGCAGGACAGACTCAGATCGAGCATCAGCTCCATGACAGTCCTCGTCCTCCCCACCCAGACGGATGTAGAACTGGATGTAGTCATCATCCGTCGTGTCCAGGTCTTTCGTCTGCAGCTCGCGAACACCATCCTGCATCACATATACCATGGTAGTTAGATATATCATGGTAGTTGGTTATACCACAGTAGCTGGATATACCATGGTAGTTGGATATATCACGGTAGTTGGATTTAACAAGGTAGTTAGAAATACCATGGTAGTTAGACATACCACAGTAGTTAGATATACAGTGTACCACGGTAGTTAGATATACCATGGTAGTTGGATATACCATGGTAGTTTGATATACCATCGTAGGTGGATATACCATGGTAGTTAGATATACCATGGTAGTTGGATATATCACGGTAGTTGGATATAACAAGGTAGTTAGAAATACCATGGTAGTTAGACATACCACAGTAGTTAGATATACCATGGTAGGTGGATATACAGAGATAGTTAGACCATTACAAAGGGACTGCTATATCAGGGTAATATGTGACAATTCGCTTCTCAGGGTGTATGACCCATATCCAAAAGAGACCAATAACAATTTGGATCCTTCTAGTTTGTGAAACTATATAACACACTGCCTGCATTCTTCTTTCCAAACACACAGTGGAGAGTACACAGTACTGACCTTGAAGAAGTATATTGACTCTCCCGATAGTATTGGTCCACATCCTTGGTTGCTGCGCACAACATCACCGCCGGTGATACGGTGGAAGTCTTCCTCGGGCTCGTATCTCATACCGAAGTCAGCATGCATGTCAGTGTCCATGCCGGTACTCGGTTGGCAGCTGTCTCCCGTAAACCCTGCATCACATCTGAAGGACAATCATCATCATCATCACCACCATCATCATCATCATCATCATCACCATCATCATCATCATCATCATCATCATCATCATCATCACTGCCATTATCACAATCAACAGATGTCAGCAATTGTTACATCCCCAATCATCATGAAAAACAAATTATACCATCTTCATTGTTGTTGAAACAGTCTTATACCCCAGTTCTGATCTGGATGCCATGGTTTCCTATCTTTCAACTGTATTGGCAAAGTGCATAATACATCTACACTTTTCACAAGTTGCCATATTAAATACATTAATCTTACAATTCCAGTCTTGAATTATAATCAAAGTCAAGTGAATGTGTAATTTTCTTTATGAATATTCTGATTGTCAAGCCACTTACATTACAGCTGTTCCACCAGGGCTGAGTTATGGAGGAAGCATTTGAAAATAATATATCTCCATTTCAGATATTTTTGTCAGCTGTGTTAAATAAATGTTTACTCTCCTTGACTTGGTGTACTGGCTGATACCCTGAGTAAAGTATGGTATAGGTGAGGTGAAATTGGGTTTAACGTCGCGTTCAAGATTATTGCACTTATATAGCGATGTGCATGCACGTGTGTGTATTGCTGCTTGAACTAGTCCAGACTAATGCCGATTTATAGTGCCAGCTCACTGAGATACCATGCCGCAGTTTAACATGAATACCCCACTCAGACACAGTACACTGACTCCGAACCGACCAGTCCTTGTTTCTTGTTTTAGCCCCTTAATGCCGAGCTCCAGACAGGGTAACAACAAGTACCATCTTTTAAAGCCTTTGGTATGATGCGGCCGGGGATCGAACCCCGGACTTTCCGCTCTCCGGGCGGACGCTCTACCACTAGACCACGGAGGCAATCGAAAGTATGGTATAACTGTTATATGACCTCACTGCATGCATACAAGGACTGTCAGTGCATATGTACTCACTTGCACACCCCTTCATTACACTTGCCGTGTCCGTGACACATGAACGGACACTGCTGACCGATGTATATCCGCTTGATGGCCCAGGAGTCAGTGGGGCTCCAGTTGGACTGGCGCCATCGGATCTTGGTTCCTGGTGACCTGGTTGTTCACAAATGGTGTCGGAAACGTCTCAGTAATAGCCAATGACATTTATCACCTGACTTCAACTTTGGCTGATTATTTGTTATCCAATGATTATTTGTAATAATGACGGCAAGCAGTAACCCTGGTTATATTACAAGGCTACTTCTTGCCCTGTGTTCAATCACCTGGTGGCAGTAGTAGCCTTGAATCATTGTGAAATAAGAACACAGAACTTGACCACTCTCCTACCCAGAGTTCCATGCTGCCGGCAGCCGGCCAGCGTAGTACCTCTGCCACAGGCCCACGCCATGTGACGATTCGTCACATCTTTCACAGTCCATTCAAGATATTGAATATGCTTTTCATCCGTTTCATGTTTGACAAATCAACACATTTTCAGAAACAAACGTCAAAGAATGGTTACGGTTCATTAAGAAAGTATCCTAATACATGTACATGAAAATCTATTTGTTTTTGCGTAGTTATCCTTTGTTTACATTGGTTGTAAGGCTCTACGTGCTGTCATCGAAGTCCAATGGAGAGCTGGCGGTACGGTCACGTTGATGCATAAATATATACTGTCATGCAACTCACTGTCGTAGTTGTAGTAGCATATCTATATAATTATGCAAAACAATATGTTAAGCGACCCCAAATACTTGCATTAGTCCGTTCTACACTGATTTCTGAAACAGCGTGTTTGTTTACAAACAAGAGAAAAGTCGGGTCACATGATATGCAAATTAGCCTGTGGCAGTGGTGTTATGCTGAGTCACCACTGCTCCGGAGTTCGAGAACTTGACATCCTTAAAGGTTGTGTCTCTCTGAATAACTACTCCTATATGCCTATCAACAACCTTACTGGACTATTTAATACACTGACCATGTGTCTTCCGGCAGCAAGACCGTTGTTCGTGTCCACTCGGTAAATTGTGAGGAGTCGTACAACGTCCCTGCATGGTACTCGTCACACAACATCGGCGGCAGGCACGGCTCCTGCACCAGGTACCAGCTGGTACCATGATCGACGGAGTACTCCAGGTACAGGCGGTTGTCGATGTCCTTCGTGTATGCCGTGTGACACCCCATCACCAGGTCAAACTGAACCATATAGGATGGACCGATCTGCATCGTGTCTGTCATTAGGAATCGGTCTTGTCCATTCTTCTCGTTTCCTGCAAAACTGACAAAAAAGTGTCTTTCCATACAGTAGAACACGGATATAACAAACACGGATATAGCGAACAAACAGATACAACGAACTGTTAAAAAATCCCCGATTTATCTCCTATATAATATCATATAAAATTTACGTATATAACGAACTCTCTACAGCGAACTAACGGATACAGCGAACTGATATCTGATCATGACAAGCCCACCTATCACTAATTAGTGACGTGTATAGCGAACTGAGAAATCTCACTCAGTGTCAAGTGTCACTGACAATTGGCTGTACGCAATCAGTGGCGAATCAACACAATGGCGGCGAAAACTGGCCTGTTTTATAAACTGACACCCCAGAGAAATCTGAGAAATGTAGAGTAGTATGTTATGAATTTAATGTTATTAAATGAAAGTTACAAATTGTTATCCATTGTATGATCACTGCTAATACAAATCAATGCTGCAATTACGTGTATTGTGTTTTGTATTATCCAAGATGGCGGACGTTTCCGAGGGAAAACGTGTATAACGAACAACGGATATAACGAACTGATTTCTCTGGTCCCTTGTAGTTCTTTATATCTGTGTTCTACTGTATATTGAAAGAATGACAGAAGTCAGAATTCCAATCATGTAAATGATATGCTTATGGCTCCACATTCATTTCTGTCATTCATTTGTCAACACCAAATAACAATACAATCCTTGTGCCTTGATGTGGCATGTGGTAACAGTGCACAGACCACAACTCAGGTGAAGGAAAGCGACATTGGTCGATGAAAGTAGAAGCATGTGTATACGTGTTCAACACGAGTGTTTCAAGGACTTCCGTCCTACATCACACTGAAGCAAACGTTGCTGTGGTGCCTCTTTAGGCAAGTGACTTTTGTTCGAAATATACCTTGGTTCACCCAGTCGTGAATGGGTACCCGGTAGGATTAGTTGATGTGACTGTTAACCTGATTGTATACTCCCCTCAGATTGAAATTCATTGGCTACAGTAACTCACTTAATACTCTTGGGGGCCCCACAGTAACTGTCTACGAGTTGGCCAAGGTTTGTGGTCAGTTCCTCATCCATATCTTTCATATCTGCCGCCTCAATACTCAGTGTGTTGGAGAGTTCTTTAGCCAGACTGACTTCATCGATCGCCCACACATCATGGCCACGACCGGAGTGGTTCGGCTGACGCCACTGGAATCTACATGACGAGTCACGAGCAGCACTGGGAAGATATACAGCATCTCCTCTGAAAGAAATACACAAGACTTGTTACAGAGTTGACTGTAGGGTTAACCTTATCTGTGAAATAAATCCCTGCAAAGGTGACTATCTCGATGAAATGAAATACAGTATAGTTCATCATCAGTCTGTGACAGATGACACAATATGAAACCTAAACATTTATTGGTGAAAATATAGTAAAGCAATATAAAGGGCATCTTCCCGAGCCAAGGGCGTTAATTGACTATAAAAGTCCAGTTTCCACCCTTGCCGAACTAGGCTGGAATTTCTGGGCTTGATCGTAGCGCCACCATTACGAGTATTACGGCTATTACGAGTTATGTCCCTTCTATGCCTCTCCCATGGACCAATCAGATTCCACCTCTCGTATCACTTGCATTTGCTTCAAACAAAATGGCGGCATCCAGTCAAGACGATCTGATAGGTAATCAAGATCTATCTTGTGATAAAACAGGTCTTACATCACGAAGTGCATCAAATCACATGAGCACCTTGATTAAAAACATGAACAGATTTGGAAAATATCTGTTGACAAATAGTTGGAGGTGCACATGCTTTGCAAATCCTGCCATCGACCGAAATCTGCTTAACTCACTTGCCTCGGGGAGATGTATAAAGGGTAGTGCATGACATGATCTGTCAGTGATTAACATAAACTATCCGGAGATGAACTGAACACTGGGATGACAAACTACAAGACACAATGGAAAAAAGCACCAGACCACGGATTACTGTCTCTCTTCAAGTCTTTCGTTCATTCGTTAGTTCGTTTGTTTGTTTGTTCATTCATTCATTTGTTCGATCATTCTTTCATTCATTTGTTTGTTCGATTGTTCATGGCACCAGACCATGGATTACAGTCTCTCTTCAAGTCGTTCGTTCATTCGTTAGTTCGTTTGTTTGTTTGTTCATTCATTCATTTGTTCGATCATTCTTTCATTCATTTGTTTGTTCGATTGTTCATGGCACAAGACCATGGATTACAGTCTCTCTTCAAGTCGTTCGTTATTTTGTTCATTTGTTTGTTCGATCGTTCGTTCGTTCTTTCGTTTGTTTGATTGTTCCAGGCACCAGACCATGGATTACAGTCTCTCTTCAAGTCGTTCATTCGTTCATTCATTTGTTCGTTCGTTCGTTCGTTCGTTCGTTCGTTCGTTCGTTTGTTCGTTCATTCATTTGTTTGTTCAATCGTTCGTTTGTTCATTCGTTTGTTTGATTGTTCCAAGCACCAGACCATGGATTACAGTCTCTCATCAAGTCATTCGTTCGTTCATTCGTTTGTTCGATCGTTCGATTGTTCTTTCGTTTGTTTGATCGTTCCAGGCAGGCAGGTTTGATTGTGTATTATCCCTATCCAGCATTGTGACAGACACCATCTGCTTCACACAGTGTCACCATGTGGGGAATCACATCAAGATCTTCCCATCATATCAAGAGCCAACACTTCAACCACAAGGTCACATCAATTGCTTTTCACAGAAGGAGACACCAATAACTGACATTATTTTACCATTGCGGCAAATCATTATACCCAATCCTAATAAGACCTCCCTCTCTTGATCTCTCATTTCTTTTGGAAGTCATATGAAAATATGAATTAATATTGTTACCGTGGCGATTGGTAGTCCTTGATGGAGAACTCTCGCAGGAAGTGCCAAGAGATGCCACCATTGCAGGAATACTCGAGGTAGACGGCCTCGGTGGGGTCATCTGGTGGAGGGCAGTCCGAGGTCGTGGACAGACTCCCCACGCGCACGGAGTACTGGAGGTATCTTGGAGTAACAGGAGAGTAGCATCAGCAGATTAAAAACTTTAAGAAATTATTTTATCTTACTTGTATTTGACACTTGAAAACACTCCTGGGCCCTATTCCACAAAGCGATCTTAGCTCTTGGATGATCGTAACTCCCATACTTTAACATTTTATATTTTATTAATTTTGCCTACTTTATCCTCTTTATAAATAAAATGAATTATATTCTCTAAAAACAGAAACTTCCCAAAAAGTGCCAAGGCACTGTAGCTGACCTGGATATGTAGTCTTAAATGTCAGACACTGGACAAAGGTTGCTGTCAGTATTAATATTCAAATATTCAAACAGGTCTGTTGAATCCCATAAGAAACAAATACCAAATATGATTTCGTAAAAAAATGGCATATTAATGGCTATATATAACTTTTTCGATATGGCTGCCTCGGTGGCCATTTTGAAATTTGGATTCAAACCTCTCAAGCAAAATGTGGTTCATTACTTCAGCTTCATTGGCTCAGAGCTTTCTGAGGAGAAAATGTTTACGACAACTGACGCACAAAAGAAGACGCACTGCAGACATGGCATCACATTGAGGTAACTTGACTTTCAGCCAGGTGAGCTATGAAAATATCAATCCATATACTGACTGTGCATCTGTTGTATTGAAGTCTGTTGTGAGGAACACTCTGGGTCCATTTCCACTGAATACAAGGGACTTTCCTGCCGAGATGACACCACAGTCAAAGGTGACACTCGCCCCATGGATGGTAAACAACATGGATGATGTCACTACTATGGGGTCTTCAAAACTCTCCATAAAAGACGAGGGACTGGGGACCACAGAATCCTTGCAAGTGGCGCCATTGTAGCCGAAGTCGCAGCTGCAGACAAAACAATAGTACGTCCTTATAACAATCCATGACATACCAGTTAGCATTGTGGTTGTGAGTGAGTGAGTGAGTGAGTGAGTGAGTGAGTGAGTGAGTGAGTGAGTGAGTGAGTGAGTGAGTGAGTGAGTGAGTGAGTGAGTGAGTGAGTGAGTGAGTGAGTGACTGAGCAATATCAGAAGAAAGAATGTCAGTGCAATGATCCCAAAAACTGTTTTTTAAACTACTATTATACCAGAAATAATATATTCTAATATCTTGTTAGTATAGTAGCTGCCTTCATTATATTTTGGACTTAAGACTAAGTCTTTCAGACAGGGTTTTCAGTTGTTTTTTAAACAATTTATAATGAAACAAATTTTCTAAGAATGTACAGTTATAAAGAGAGACAAAGAAAAGCGTTATACAAAAAATGAAAAAAAAAAATACAACCTGCATTGTTCCAGCCCACAAGTGCCATGGTTGTTGCAGCCCTCAGGACAACTGCCAATGAACACTGAAACGAACACCAGGTGTAGCAACACTGACTAAAGAGAAAACAGTATTCAAAAGAACTATTTTTGTATTTGTATTGAGATACTTTTATTATCAGCTACAGATGGAGATACTTTTGCATCAAAATACATCAAGAATTTATGTTCTTTCATATCTTGCAACTCAATTTGTGGCAAAACAGAAAATGAATTATTTCCTTATATGGACAGATCATCTCAGTGAGTTCCACAATGGGGAACTATGAAACAGATTGAACACAGTGGTGACAGAGACAGATTTTGTTTGTTGTTTAACGTGCACTCAGCAATAACCAAGCTATATGACGGCAGTCTATAAATTATCGAGTCTGGATCAGACTATCCAGTGATTGATGTCATGAGCACTGATCTACAGATTTGAGATACAATAACATGCATCATCCAAGTCAGCAAGCCTGACCACCCGATCCCATAAGTCGCTTCTTACGACAAGCATAGTCGCCTCTTACGACAAGCATGGGTTGCTAAAGACCTATTCTACTCCGGATCGTCACAGGTCTGTGGCCTTGTACCCTGATGGCATTGGATGTTGCTTATCATTTCAATCACTGGATTGTCTGGTCCAGACTTGAAGCTCCCCCTACCTACCATCATCTACCGCCCAGTTGGGGGCCCCAGACTCATCCACCTGCCGCCAGCGGAACCTTGTGTATGGCATCAGTGCCTTGTATGGGATGGGGAACGTGAAGCGGGTCCACCTTGTAAAAAACATCATGGGTACAGAGGAAAGTTTATGTTAGGGCTGGCAAAAGATGCTAAACGGAATTATCATCCATGGGAAGACATATTAACGATTATCGATATGAAAATTGTGTCATCGATAATATCTTGCATAAACAATTGTGAATAAAGTTTAACTTTATCGAAACAGACTTGTTATTGTGAATCAAGTCAATTGCCAAAGATGAAAAGCAACTGATGTCCACAGAGTAATCCATGCATAAATGTGTCCGTCCTCACCAGTGGCTTGAAGTGTGTTGATTTCTTTCAGACTTTTTTGCATGTTTGCTCAAAGTTACTTATTTATTTATCGATAATTAATCGATATGAAGTTAACCATTTTCGATCTCTAAGATCTGTATCGATATCCAGTCCTTGTTTTTGTCTTACCGGTGACCGTACTCAGAGAAAATATCTTGTTTATTTACGACTAAAGATAACGTATGTAGTATGAAAGCTACTAAACATTATAAGTGCCAAGGCACTGTAGCTCACTTAGATATTAAGTCAAAATAGTACATAGTTTAAAACACCAACATAGACAGGCACTTAACAAAAACTGCAATCATCATTGATATTGAAATATTTTCCGTATATCCTACTGTTTTGCAGTATTCCAGCTATATGACAGCAGTCAGTAAATAATCATGTCTAGACCAGGCAATTCAGTGATTGAAATCATGAGCATCAATCCACACAAATGGGATACAAAGACATGCATCAACCAAGTCAGTGAGCCTGATCACCTGATCCCTTTAGTTGCCTCTTACGACAAGCATTGGTTGCTGAAGACCAGTTCTGGCTGGGATCTTGATGGTTTGATATTTGAGTGAGTGAGTGAGTTTGGTTTAACACCAATTTAACCATTCTTTAGATATATCACAGGGTGTCAGCTTGATGTGGTCTGAAAGTCCCCATGCATGTAACTACCTTGGTAAAACCGATGACGACTGATCATATGGTGCTGACAGACCAAGGATCATTAACCGGCCAGTCTATAGCATTCAAACCCTTGACCAACAGATCCTGGTATGAGTAAGGGAGGCAACACAGTGCCAAAGATACAACAGAATGTACACTTATGACTTACTGGCTGTGGTCCTGGGTGTGGACCAGCATATCCTGGTATGAGTAAGGGAGGCAACACAGTGCCAAAGATACAATAGAATGTACACTTATGACTCACTAGCTGTGGTCCTGGGTGTGGACCAGCAGATCCTGGCATGAGTAAGGGAGGCAACACAGTGAATGAGATACAATAGAATGTCCAGCTAACACTCACTGGCTGTGGTCCTGGGTGTGAACGGTGGAGGAGAGTGGCTGGTAGGCACCATCACAATGGCCGGACAGACATGGCTCGTGGAGGGTGTGCCATGTGTCTCCGTGATCAGTGCTGTACTCCAGGCTGATACTGGGGTGATACAAAATTGGAAACAATGTCCTTTATTGTTAAAAAGGTAACTACATTGATCACATGTTTTGAAAATACACACATTGGCACCATAGTTAGCCTGAAATAGAATAAAAATACAGACAATATTTTTACATAAATCTTAAGAGAACCATACCCACATGCTGAATGTTGTGTGAGGTCAAGGACTAGTCTTTCATACAGACCCTGAAACAAATATATCTAATACAGCCCATGCTATAATGTTTGGCAAGTCTAGACTACTCCAGTATCAGGAGAAAGTCTCTGGTCTCCTTTATATTATATTTTATAACTATAATTTAACTACTGTTTTTTCTGTAAAACATGTTTATTTCAGAGACTAGATGTTAGTCTAGTCAAGGACCTAAAGACCAAGATGTTCTCAAGCTACAAATGACTGAGTGAGAGAATTTATGTCACTTTCACTATTTCTGTCATGCTGTCTTTGTGAGAAATGCATTCCAATCATAACAATCAGTGTGAATCTGGGTTCAAACCACTGTTTTTGGCAGCTAAGGGACACAACTCTGCACACTGAGCTACAATGAAAGACTCGTGGGTCAGACTGCTCTGTCCTGCACTACAAGGTAACAACAATCTCACCTGTTTTGTTGTAAGTTCAACCCACACTCCATGTTGATACTGAACTGGACCACAGCGTCTGTCGTGGCAGGCATGTATGGCAGCACGGTGATGCCATCTAACACCCAGATGTCCCGATACGGCCCCGTGTTGTACTTCTGTAGCCAGCAGATCCTCGCTTCCGACACATGCGCCACCGACGTCAGTGGAAGGGACACCAGCCTTGCATGCTGAAACAGAAGAGTTTGTCATCAGTGAGTCATTATCAGTGTTATAGCACAGTTGACATCCTGGCTTCGACCTCAATAGGACAGACACCAGACTTGTACGCTGAAACACAAGGGTCAGTCATCAGTGAGTCATTATCAGTGTTATAGCACAGTTGACATCCTGGCTTCGACCTCAATAGGACAGACACCAGACTTGTACGCTGAAACACAAGGGTCAGTCATCAGTGAGTCATTATCAGTGTTATAGCACAGTTGACATGCTGGCTTCGACCTCAATAGGACAGACACCAGACTTGTACGCTGAAACACAAGAGTCAGTCATCAGTGAGTCATTATCAGTGTTATAGCACAGTTGACATCCTGGCTTCGACCTCAATAGGACAGACACCAGACTTGTACGCTGAAACACAAGGGTCAGTCATCAGTGAGTCATTATCAGTGTTATAGCACAGTTGACATCCTGGCTTCGACCTCAATAGGACAGACACCAGACTTGTACGCTGAAACACAAGGGTCAGTCATCAGTGAGTCATTATCAGTGTTATAGCACAGTTGACATGCTGGCTTCGACCTCAATAGGACAGACACCAGACTTGTACGCTGAAACACAAGGGTCAGTCATCAGTGAGTCATTATCAGTGTTATAGCACAGTTGACATCCTGGCTTCGACCTCAATAGGACAGACACCAGACTTGTACGCTGAAACACAAGGGTCAGTCATCAGTGAGTCATTATCAGTGTTATAGCACAGTTGACATCCTGGCTTCGACCTCAATAGGACAGACACCAGACTTGTACGCTGAAACACAAGGGTCAGTCATCAGTGAGTCATTATCAGTGTTATAGCACAGTTGACATGCTGGCTTCGACCTCAATAGGACAGACACCAGCCTCGCATGCTGAAACACAAGGGTCAGTCATCAGTGAGTCATTATCAGTGTTATAGCACAGTTGACATCCTGGCTTCGACCTCAATAGGACAGACACCAGACTTGTACGCTGAAACACAAGGGTCAGTCATCAGTGAGTCATTATCAGTGTTATAGCACAGTTGACATGCTGGCTTCGACCTCAATAGGACAGACACCAGACTTGTACGCTGAAACACAAGGGTCAGTCATCAGTGAGTCATTATCAGTGTTATAGCACAGTTGACATCCTCGTTTATCCAGTGTTTTATCTCCATTTTGTTGTGAGTATTACCCATCCTCAGTAAACTACGGTTATAACGAACTTAAAGGGGCCACTAATTTTAGTTTGTTATGATTGTTATAAGCATATGTATAGCATATATACAGCAGTGGCCATGACAAAAAAACAAGTTCATCATATCCTTCAGTTCATTATAAGCATGTCAGTTATAAACGTAGTTTACTGTAGCACCATAGCTTCATTTAGGAAGTGACATCACATCTCCATCTCTGCATTCTCGCACTCAGCACAGAATTTCTCCAGCTTTTGTGCGTAATCTGATTGGACAGCTATATTTAGCATCTTGCATTCAAATCTAGCTCTGAATGAAACAAGGGTAGTGAATGGCTGCAGGGTATTCATCATACAATAGTGATATCATAATCAAGGTTGCCAAAGGCCTTCACATTAATTTTATGTTTCACGAATTTATTCCAGCTTTTCCACACAAGGTTGGTTGAAATAAAAATACAAATAAAAAGCTATTTATCTATTTATTTATTTATTTATTTATTTGTTTATTTATTTATTTTAAAGTCACTCTGCCATAGAGTTAAAGCTGCAGTTGGTTTCTTTTATTCTTTTATCACTGATAGTGATGTGGACATGGATTTATATATAACATGTTTTTAAGTGGGGGTGGCGGTCTGGTGGTTAAAGCGTTAGCTCGTCACACCGAAGACCCGGGTTCAATTTCCGACATGGGTACAATAGGTGAAGCCCATTTATTTCTGGTGTCCCCCACCGTGATATTGCTGGAATATTGCTAAAAGCGGTGTAAAACCATACTCACTCACTTTAACATTTTTTATTGTATAAAAGGGTCTATATTACAAGCGTGAGACATAATAAAAATAGATATGGTTATGTTTGATTTATTTGGACTGCTTTTCAGTTGGGGCGGCAGGCCCGGGAAACGAAAAAAAATATATCGTGTTGCCTAATGAAGGTTGTTCAAAGGATTATGTGCTGTAGGGCCATTTCGTGCAAAATGTGATATCAAGCTGTGTCTGAATCATCGAGAACCCTTGACATTGAATATCTAGACATAAACTCACTGCTGCATGAACTAACAGTTCAACATAGCTGTGCATGTTTCTAGCGGCTATGAGTCTATGTCCTGATATATACCCATTACAATAACATAAATCCCAAAACACAATGAATGTGCTCAATTGATCTTGTGCTCAGTTTAAATTGAAAAGATGTTGAATGTGAGCTTGGGTTACAAAAATATTCAATGGGTTGTTTGTTTTGCATTGTTGTCGTGAAAATTAAGATACTACAAAGATTGAAATATTTGGATATAATCTCAACTGTTGGAATATCGATGACTGTATCATGGATTTCAATTTCAAGGCCTATTTTGTTCCATTTTTCTAGGGATAACAGTGACATCTCACATATTTGTCAAGTCAGCTTTTGGTACAAAGGGCAATCATTAAGGTGCCCAGAGTAATCTGTTGCTGGGTGCCGTTGTACAAAACAACCTTTGCTGTCATAAGTCTATGTAAAGGTATGGGAGTTACGATCAACTTAGCGCTAAGATCACTTTGTTGAGCACCCTGATCAGGTGACTGCAAACAATCCTGATGATGATGACCTACCCTGTAGTCCTCTGGCTTGAGTTTGTCGATGAAGAATGTGTTGCCGCTGCGGTCTTCCACGTACACCTGCACAAAGCTGGCCGGCTTGTCTGACGAGTGGCACCCTCCCACACCTGTCACATGAGTTGTCAGCAACATTATAGCAATTTCACAGCAATATTTCAGCAATTTCACAGCAACATTTCAGCAATTTCACAACAACATTATAGCAATTTCACAGCAACATTATAGCAATTTCACAGAAACATTATTGCAATTTCACAGCAAAATAATAGCAATTTCACAGCAACATTATAGCAATTTCACAGCAACATTTCAGTAATGTCACAGCAACATTTTGACCACTTTACTGCAACATCATAAGAGATAACAGCAACATTACAGCAATGTCACAGCAACATTTTGACCACTTTACTGCAGATAACAGCAACATGACAGCAGCATTGTGTGACATTATAGCAATGTCAGCAACATCATGGCAACAGCGATGACATTACAGCAGTATTATGGCAACATTGCAAAAATATTACAGCAACATTGAAACAACATTGTAGCAATATCACAGCAACATTGTAGCAACATTTAGATAATATTGTAGCAACATTGCAGTAACATTACAGCTTCATTACGGCAACATTGTAGTAACTCTTCAGCAACATCTCAGTGGACCAAGGAGTTCTTAACAAGTAATTCCATGGCTGACCTATCCCGAAGACAAATCGGAGGTTCCCAGCAGCTGTTACGTCCATGTAGTCGGTGCAGACCTGCCGCTTCCCTGTCTCAAACATCACCAGGGCATTCAGCTCGTCCACAATGCCGCACAGCACGTTGGCAGCGCCACCTACAACCTCCCAGCTGAAGACAATTTTAAACTCAATTAGTGCATGTTTATGCATGAAAATACGAAGACAAGTAATAAAATATGATAATTATATAAAAAAGTATAAATGATGTGTACTGCCTTCTTTCTGTTTTCCACAACTTTAGATATTTCAACTTTTTAAAGGCTGCTATTATTGACCTGGATATATTTTCATTCAAGAAACAATTACAGGTCCTTACTCTGAATCTACTCCCAATTCAAACTGTTCATAAAGGAGACTGCTCGGGCTGACATCAGGTTCAAGGTCAAGGTCGCGGGTCACCATGTAGTTCAGTGTCTGATTAGGTTCAATGAAGGTCATCGTGTTGCTGTCTGACTGGCAGGTTTGCTGAGGATGAAACATTGCAAGAAATATGTTTTGTGTGAAAAAATGCTCTGTGAAATACTATTAGTCTTACAGATAAACCTAAATTAGGGACCAGCCGCCATTTATTACAGGAAGAATGGTGAGTGAGTGAGTATGGTTTTACGCCGCTTTTAGCAATATTCCAGCAATATCACGGCGGGGGACATCAGAAATGGGCTTCACACATTGTACACATGTTGGGAATCAAACCCGGGTCTTCGGCGTGACGAGCGAACGCTTTAACCACTAGGCTACCCAACCGCCCCCCCCAGGAAGAATGGGGTGAGGGGTGGTGGAGGGTGAGAGGTTTTTGATGCACTCATGTACTGAAAATAATGACCTTCCGCTAAAGCTTGTCATATTTTAGGATGACCCTCCCCATGAACTTGTACATTCTCTTCATGACCCTCGCCGAAAGACAAAATGCAAAAGCGCATGATATTTTATGATAAAATGTCCAGTTTTGAATGCCCCTCCTCAAATATGTGAATTCTTTATGACCCTCCCCTAGAGAGGGTCCCTCTGACATCACATTAACAGCGTAACAATGGCAAGGATTCTTAAAGTCAGGTGAGGTAAAATTGGGTTTAATGTCGCGTCCCAAATTATTGCACTCATATAGCAACATGTGTGTGAGTGTGCATGTGTGTGTGTGTGTGGGGGGGGGGGGGGGGGGGGGCTGCTTGTACTAGTCAGGTTTGATGCCAATTTATTTACACTTAGATACCATGCTGCAGTTTTACATGAATATCCCTGAGGAGTCTTAAAGCATAGAATGTTGTTACTCTGCAATATTCCAGCTATATGACGGCAGTCTGTAAGTAATTGAGTCGGGACCAGACAATCCAGTGATTGATATCATGAGCATCAATTTATGCAATTAAACCTTTTAGGTTCACCTCAGTTTCATCAGGGGTGTCCACGTAATGTGTGCTTACAGAGTAGCTGTGCTCACATTTTTCAAAATCGTATCATGATGAAAATGAATTATGACCTGACACTTACCCGTATATTTCCTCCTGGGAAGAACATCAAGTTGCCTGGGTCCACGGGGTCAAAGGTCTCGTGCAGCTGTGTGGGAGGGTGAGCTACATTGACAACTACCACATTATCTATAGCCCAGCAACTCTTGAACGTGTTGGACGTGAGCGCTCGCAACTCACGGCGATGGCGCCTTGTTCGGAACAGACCCTTCTTCACAAACCGAGAAGCATCTTGTTGTCGAGGTCTGGATCCCTTTCTGTGCTTGGTGAAACGTGAGGGTTCATCTTGGGAGGGTCTGAGGGGCAATGGGGCATAAGTGGCAGTGGGGGAGGGGTAGGTCATCGGCTGGGTTGTGGGTAGGGTGGTAGGATGGGTTGTTGGATGGGTGGAGGGGTGAGTGGTAGGATGGGATGGTGGATGGGTGATTGAAGGCGACGTAGGTTGTGTGGTTGGTTGTGTGGTTGGTTGTGTGGTTGGTTGGGTGGTTGGTTGGGTGGTAGGGAGGGTTGTTGAATGGGTGGAGGAGGAGTGGGTGGATGGTTCAGTGGTAGTGTGGGTTGGAGGATGGGTTGTAGGGGGGTCTGTAGACAGAACTGTAGATATGACCTCCGTATGCAGGCTAGTAGTGTCAGTATGTGTTGTTGCTGCAGAGGAACTAGCCACTGTGGAGTGGACAAATGGCAGTGTGGTCTCTTCCTCAGCCTCGGTGTGGAGGGACTCATCATGGGCTCTCTCGGGGAAGTGCACTGGGTTGGTCCGGGACTCGGATGTGGTGTCATGGTGAGGCGGTATTGTAGGGTGGTAAGGTGTGGTTGGGGGAGGGGCAGGTGAGATGGTTGGGTAGGGGGTCTGAATCCACCTCAGACAGATGCCCTCTCTTCTGCCTTCTACAGGTAAAGTCACCAGGTGAATCTCTGCCTCGCTGCTGGTTGGAGGTCTGGAAAAAAGTCAAATCAGAATACCATGACATTGGTTTACGGCCACCATCACACTGTGACCTGCAATGTCACACCACACCTGTACTGCCACCATCACACTGTGACCTGCACTGTCACGTCACACCTGTACTGCCACCATCACACTGTGACCTGCACTGTCACATCCCACCTGTACTGCCACCATCACACTGTGACCTGCACTGTCACATCACACCTGTACTGCCAACATCACACTGTGACCTGCACTGTCACACCACACCTGTACTGCCACCATCACACTGTGACCTGCACTGTCACATCACACCTGTACTGCCAACATCACACTGTGACCTGCACTGTCATGTAACACCTGTACTGCCAACATCACACTGTGACCTGCACTGTCACATCACACCTGTACTGCCACCATCACACTGTGACCTGCACTGTCACATCACACCTGTACTGCCAACATCACACTGTGACCTGCACTGTCACACCACACCTGTACTGCCAACATCACACTGTGACCTGCACTGTCACATCACACCTGTACTGCCAACATCACACTGTGACCTGCACTGTCATGTAACACCTGTACTGCCACCATCACACCGTGACCTGCACTGTCACACCACACCTGTACTGCCAACATCACACTGTGACCTGCACTGTCATGTCACACCTGTACTGCCAACATCACACTGTGACCTGCACTGTCACACCACACCTGTACTGCCACCATCACACTGTGACCTGCACTGTCACACCACACCTGTACTGCCACCATCACACTGTGACCTGCACTGTCACATCACACCTGTACTGCCAACATCACACTGTGACCTGCACTGTCACATCCCACCTGTACTGCCACCATCACACTGTGACCTGCACTGTCACGTCACACCTGTACTGCCACCATCACACCGTGACCTGCACTGTCACGTCACACCTGTACTGCCACCATCACACCATGACCTGCACTGTCACGTCATACCTGTACTGTCATGTCACACCTGTCCTGTCATGTTACACCTGTACTGTCACGTCATACCTGTACTGTCATGTCACACCTGTACATCAGAGTGTCCCTTACCTGAGCCTCTCTATCTCCTCCCACTGTGTGCAGCCATGCGTCCCAAACATCACAATGATGTCACGGTCCTCACTATCGCTGCGGCCACAAGTTCCAGCCGCTGCCAACACAAAATAGACAACTCTCATCTAGTGCATTACAATAATAAGTCATAAAAACAACATCCTTACTGGTATATCTATATGTGGAGCCTTTATGCATTAATGAAAATAAACGTTCCATAAAACTAGAGAAGTTTAGGACTCTTTACTTCTTTGTCTAGATAATTTGTAACCTTCTTTGAGTGAGTGGTTTGTGTTCAATGTCCCTTTCAATATTATGTCTTTCATACAACAAAATGTCAGCTGAAGGAGAAAATCCAAAGTGGGGCAGGTCGTAGAGAGTTTCCACTTGAAAACCCATGAACACAAGTAGAGTGCTGACAGATCAGGAAGGCCTTAGTTAACCTGGGAGGTCAAATATGTCCCCTTATGGACTGCAAGGCCATCTGTGTCCCCTTATTGACCACAAGGCCAACTGTGTCCCTCGTGGCCCACAAGGAAAATTTGGTCCACATATGTACCACAAAGCAAAATACGTCCCTTTATGGACCACAAGGCCAACTGTTTCCCCTTATGGACCACAAGGCCGACTGTTTCCCCTTATAGACCACAAGGCCAATTGTGTCCCCTTATAGACCACAAGGCTAACTGTGTCCCCGTGCAAACCACAAGGCCAACTGTTTCCCCTTATGGACGAAAAGGCCATATACATCACTTTATGGACCACAAGGCCAACTGTGTCCCCTTATGGACCACAAGGACGACTGTTTCCCCTTATAGACCACAAGGCCAATTGTGTCCCCTTATAGACCACAAGGCTAAATGTGTCCCCAGGCAAACCACAAGGCCAACTGTGTCCCCTTATGGACCACAAGGCCAATTGTGTCCCCTTATAGACCACAAGGCTAAATGTGTCCCCGTGCAAACCACAAGGCCAACTGTGTCCCCCTTATGGACCACAAGGCCGACTGTTTCCCCTTATAGACCACAAGGCTAACTGTGTCCCAATGCAAACCACAAGGCCAACTGTGTCCCCTTATGAACCACAAGGCCGACTGTTTCCCCTTATGGACCACAAGGACAACTGTGTCCACTCATTCTCTTGAGCTCAGGTTCAATCACCCACTTACACAATGCAAACTGGACAACTCGAGCTGTAGTCATGTTGAGGGGCACTGTAGTCTGGAATGGGAAACATACACAGATATTATAAGCAGGGTCTCTATCACAATATCGCATGTTCAAAATATAAACCATATACAAGAATACATTGATAGCAATATTGATCCAAATAACTCTGTAACCAACTGTTTGATGGAATTAGGGATTAGGAATAATCCAGCAGGAATTCCAGCAAAATCAGAGCATAGGATACGAAGAATGTTTCACACATTGACCTCATGTCGGGGATCAAATGTTGGTCTTCAGCAAGACCCCATAAATATCTGGGTTAGATTTGGTCTTCAGCAAGACCCCGTAAATATCTGGGTTAGATTTGGTCTTCAGCAAGACCCCTTAAATATCTGGGTTAGATTTGGTCTTCAGCAAGACCCCTTAAATATCTGGGTTAGATTTGGTCTTCAGCAAGACCCCGTAAATATCTGGGTTAGATTTGGTCTTCAGCAAGACCCCGTAAATATCTGGGTTAGATTTGGTCTTCAGCAAGACCCCGTAAATATCTGGGTTAGAACTGGTCTTCCGCAACCCACGCTTGTCAGCATCGACTCACAGGGTCGGGTGGTCAGGTTTGCTGACTTAGTTGAAGCAAGTCTTCTTATCCCAATTGCGTATATCAGTGCTCATGATGTCAATCATTGGATTGTCTGCTCCAGACACGATTATCAAAAGACCGCTGTCATAAAAGCTCGAATTTTTCTGTGTGCAGCATGAAAGAACAAACAAACCTTAGCAAGACTTGCATCACTTTCACCATTGTAATACCCTGGTCCCCCTCCCCTCCCCCTCCCCCTCCCCCTCCTAGGTTCTGTACAATAGTGTCAGAGACACCATGCCTACCATCTGCCCTCCCCTCCCCTCCCCCTCCTAGGTTCTGTACAATAGTGTTAGAGACACCATGCCTACCATCTGCCCTCCCCTCCCCCTCCCCCTCCTAGGTTCTGTACAATAGTGTTAGAGACACCATGCCTACCTGCTCCCCCCCCCCTCCCCATTCCCCTCCTAGGTTCTGTACAATAGTGTTAGAGACACCATGCCTACCTGCTCCCCCTCTCTTCCCCCTCCCCCTCCTAGGTTCTGTACAATAGTGTTAGAGACAACATGCCTACCTGCTCCCCCTCCCCTCCCCCTCCCCCTCCTAGGTTCTGTACAATAGTGTTAGAGACAACATGCCTACCTGCTCCCCCTCCCCCTCCCCATCCCCCTCCTAGGTTCTGTACAATAGTGTTAGAGACAACATGCCTACCTGCTCCCCCTCCCCTCCCCCTCCCCCTCCTAGGTTCTGTACAATAGTGTTAGAGACAACATGCCTACCTGCTCCCCCTCCCCCCTCCCCATCCCCCTCCTAGGTTCTGTACAATAGTGTTAGAGACAACATGCCTACCTGCTCCCCCTCCCCCTCCCCCTCCTAGGTTCTGTACAATAGTGTTAGAGACAACATGCCTACCTGCTCCCCCTCCCCCTCCCCCTCCTAGGTTCTGTACAGTAGTGTTAGAGACAACATGCCTACCTGCTCCCCCTCCCCTCCCCCTCCCCCTCCTAGGTTCTGTACAATAGTGTTAGAGACAACATGCCTACCTGCTCCCCCTCCCCCTCCCCCTCCTAGGTTCTGTACAATAGTGTTAGAGACAACATGCCTACCTGCTCCCCCTCCCCCTCCCCCTCCTAGGTTCTGTACAATAGTGTTAGAGACAACATGCCTACCTGCTCCCCCTCCCCTCCCCCTCCTAGGTTCTGTACAATAGTGTTAGAGACAACATGCCTACCTGCTCCCCCTCTCTTCCCCCTCCCCCTCCTAGTTTCTGTACAATAGTGTTAGAGACAACATGCCTACCTGCTCCCCCTCCCCTCCCCCTCCCCCTCCCCCTCCTAGGTTCTGTACAATAGTGTTAGAGACAACATGCCTACCTGCTCCCCCTCCCCTCCCCCTCCCCCTCCTAGGTTCTGTACAATAGTGTTAGAGACAACATGCCTACCTGCTCCCCCCTCCCCCTCCCCTCCCCCTCCTAGGTTCTGTACAATAGTGTTAGAGACAACATGCCTACCTGCTCCCCCTCCCCCTCCCCCTCCTAGGTTCTGTACAATAGTGTTAGAGACAACATGCCTACCTGCTCCCCCTCCCCATCCCCCTCCTAGGTTCTGTACAATAGTGTTAGAGACAACATGCCTACCTGCTCCCCCTCCCCCCTCCCCCTCCTAGGTTCTGTACAATAGTGTTAGAGACAACATGCCTACCTGCTCCCCCTCCCCCCTCCCCTCCCCCTCCTAGGTTCTGTACAATAGTGTTAGAGACAACATGCCTACCTGCTCCCCCTCCCCCCTCCCCATCCCCCTCCTAGGTTCTGTACAATAGTGTTAGAGACAACATGCCTACCTGCTCCCCCTCCCCCCTCCCCTCCCCCTCCTAGGTTCTGTACAATAGTGTTAGAGACAACATGCCTACCTGCTCCCCCTCCCCCTCCCCCTCCTAGGTTCTGTACAATAGTGTTAGAGACAACATGCCTACCTGCTCCCCCTCCCCCTCCCCCTCCTAGGTTCTGTACAATAGTGTTAGAGACAACATGCCTACCTGCTCCCCCTCCCCTCCCCCTCCCCCTCCTAGGTTCTGTACAATAGTGTTAGAGACAACATGCCTACCTGCTCCCCCTCCCCTCCCCCTCCCCCTCCTAGGTTCTGTACAATAGTGTTAGAGACACCATGCCTACCTGCTCCCCCTCTCTTCCCCCTCCTAGGTTCTGTACAATAGTGTTAGAGACAACATGCCTACCTGCTCCCCCTCCCCTCCCCCTCCCCCTCCTAGGTTCTGTACAATAGTGTTAGAGACAATATGCCTACCTGCTCCCCCTCCCCTCCCCATCCCCCTCCTAGGTTCTGTACAATAGTGTTAGAGACAACATGCCTACCTGCTCCCCCTCCCCCTCCCCCTCCTAGGTTCTGTACAATAGTGTTAGAGACAACATGCCTACCTGCTCCCCCTCCCCCCTCCCCATCCCCCTCCTAGGTTCTGTACAATAGTGTTAGAGACAACATGCCTACCTGCTCCCCCTCCCCCCTCCCCATCCCCCTCCTAGTTTCTGTACAATAGTGTTAGAGACAATATGCCTACCTGCTCCCCCTCCCCCTCCCCCTCCTAGGTTCTGTACAATAGTGTTAGAGACAACATGCCTACCTGCTCCCCCTCCCCTCCCCATCCCCCTCCTAGTTTCTGTACAATAGTGTTAGAGACAATATGCCTACCATTTGTCTGATGCCTTCTCTCTTGCAGAACACGGCAGCCTTGTCAAACATGACAGGACCACACCCATCACCCACCGTGCCTCCCTCCGTAGCCTGCCTGGAACACAGACCCTCACACAATGTCAGCTCAAGAAATGGAAACAGCACAAATATCCTCAAACAAAAAACACATATTTCTTTTCTTCATGATACATGATACTCACAGGATTCTTTTACAGAGGTTTGTTGTAAGTCACTGGTTTGTTGTGAGAAACTGGGACATTGTCTCTAAATATTTATTCATTTTTCAAATTTCCGAGTCCCACGATGGGACCTTCTGATCAGAGGTCGGACGCCTTGTCCACATGACCAAAGAGGTTAACCTGTCAGCAAGCTGACAAGGTAAGGATATCATCTGTGGGATGACTCCACGCCCTGCTACGTTGGTAGACAAAGTTGTATTTGTGACATCTTCCACGACCTTGCCCTTCTTAATAAAAAATGAAATGCATTTGAGTAAGATTGTTTTGGATGCTGATGTGAGGGTGTCTTAATTTGGCTGTGTCCCAGTAAAATTTAAAATTAAACATAATTTTTCAGTAACATTTTTCTTTGATTATCAGTTCTCCTCACCAGAGGTCACTCCTGAAGCCCGGCTGGGAGTCAAAGTCGTCTCGGAGGATCACTGAGTCGGAGTGGATCTGAGCAAGTTCTGGTCGGAGTGGCGAGGTGGTGGCAGCTGCAAGGTCATGATTACAACAGACATTAGGTGTGTAATGATTGGTCGAAGTATTCATCTATCCATGGACTAATGGTAATGCATCTAAGATAAGTTAAAATATCACTAAATCACGTTGATGTCGCTCTCTTCACTATTATCATGGACAGTAGGGCTGGGATGGGTAACTCGGGTACCCCAGTCAGGTGGGTACTGAGTAGGACCCGGGTACCCACAGGACTACCCGGACCCGTGGTTAGTCATGTGATATATAGTTTAATGACAAAAATTATCTAGAACTCTATGGTTACACTACATGTCACTAATGTTCGCATTTCTTTCTGACTATGCACCAATTCCTTTTGACTTTTCATATGGTTGAGTAAAGATATAACTTAAGTCAACTTCAGTGTATGCATGATCAGATCGTTGAATAAGTGTATCTTGCAATTTTGCAAGTGCTATGGCAAAAAACATTCCCAATCGGACATTTTGGATCTCTTGAGACCTACAATGGGTACCGGGGGTCGAAATAGGGGGGTCGGTACCCGGGTAGTAAATTTGGACTCGTCCCAGCCCTAATGGACAGTACCATAAACCAATTAACTTACCAATGCTTTTGATGCACAATACACATTTAATATTTCTGACAATGTATGTAGGAATCATTCACAATATGTTCACTGACTTATATATAAGATACTTTCCAAACAACTTGTGAGCCTTGTACATGGTGGACATCAACAAGGACGTCTACATTGTGGCAAGGTTGAGGTATTCATCATAATACTGCAACACTAAAGTGAAACCTCACTTCTCCGGACACTGTTTGTCAAGAAAACCCACCTTTAATGCTAGGAATGCTGAATCTCATATAAATTAGAATTTACCACGATATCTCTCTGTGTGAAGATCTGGTGACACATCCCTAGGAGATTGTGTAAGGTTTACTTTCTAATCAGACAATCAAGTTAAAGGCAAATACTCCGCATGAAAAAAGCATTAGGAGCAGCAAATCTGATTTCTGTATCTCCAAATTGTACATAAACAGACATTTTCAATAGGATATAATAAAGGCCAAGCTCTTGTTGTTGTAAATAGTTAACAGACCCTGTCATTTCTGAGCACTATGAAATCTACACCACAAATAAGTGAGTGAGTGAGGTTTTTACGTCGCTTTTAGCAATATTCCAGCAATATCATGGCAGGGGACACCACAAATGGGTTTCACACATTGTACCAATGGTCTTCAAACCTGGGTCTTTGGCATGATGAGCGAACGATTTAATCACTAGGATACCCGGCCCCCCACAAATAAGTGAGTACAATTGAAGGCACATATGAGTTTTTTGTGTAATAAGCTCCATTCAAAGTGGAGAGGTGGTGGCAAATAAGCTGTCAGAGGAGAGACCAAAGCGATGCAGATTGTACAAAAGCAAGTATGTGTATTGAGTTAAAAAGCAAGGATCATAATTTGACGTTGAACCCACAATCAGCGGATCCTGGCACAACTAATGGAAGCAACTCTGAAAAAGCTTCATATGCATCTCAAACCACTTGACCACTCATGCCCTAAACAATTAGAAGTGGTATTTTAACAATTTGTCTTATTTAATTATGTAACAAAACCCGAGGACAATGTTCGTCCGAGTTTCTCTCCTCGCCAGCCCTCACCTCCCTCCTCACACATCTGGAACACGGTGGTGTCCTTGAAAAGCAGCTGGTGCCCCAGGGTCGCCGTCGCTCTGTGGGAGAGGAGAGTGACAGCATGTCACTATCTATCTATCTATCTATCTATCTATCTATCTATCTATCAGGCCAAAATCACCACGCCTGGCATGTCACACAATTTTCTATTAATGGGACAAAATAATTTACAGATGTTATAATGAAATAGGGATACATTGTGACACATAAAGGAAATCAAATCACAAAAATCAAACAGCTCTCAATCAAACCTGAAAAAGCATGCGGTATTGGAGAGCATGCGATCCAAATTGGAGACAAGCTTAAGCAAGAGATACGGAGACAAGCTTAAACATAAGGTACTGTGGACCTAGTCTGTCCTGGATTCGAACGGAGACAAGCTTAAACATAAGTTACTGGGGACCTATTCTGTCCTGGATTCAAACGGAGACAAGCTTAAACATAAGGTACTGGGGACCTAGTCTGTCCTGGATTCCAATGGAGACAAACTTAAACATAAGGTACTGGGGACCTAGTCTGTCCTGGATTCCAATGGGAGACAAGCTTAAACATAGGGTACTGGGGACCTAGTCTGTCCTGGATTCCAATGGGAGACAAGCTTAAACATAAGGTACTGGGGACCTAGTCTGTCCTGTATTCCAACGGAGACAAGCTTAAACATAAGGTACTGGGGACCTAGTCTGTCCTGGATTCCAATGGGAGACAAGCTTAAACATAAGGTACTGGGGACCTAGTCTGTCCTGTATTCCAACGGAGACAAGCTTAAACATAAGGTACTGGGGACCTATTCTGTCCTGGATTCGAACGGAGATAAGCTTAAACATAAGGTACTGGGGACCTAGTCTGTCCTGGATTCCAATGGAGACAAACTTAAACATAAGGTACTGGGGACCTAGTCTGTCCTGGATTCCAATGGGAGACAAGCTTAAACATAGGGTACTGGGGACCTAGTCTGTCCTGGATTCCAATGGGAGACAAGCTTAAACAAAAGGTACTGGGGACCTAGTCTGTCCTGGATTCCAACGGAGACAAGCTTAAACATAAGGTACTGGGGACCTAGTCTGTCCTGGATTCCAATGGGAGACAAGCTTAAACATAAGGTACTGGGGACCTAGTCTGTCCTGTATTCCAGTGGAGACAAACTTAAACATAAGGTACTGGGGACCTAGTCTGTCCTGGATCCCAATGGGAGACAAGCTTAAACATAAGGTACTGGGGACCTAGTCTGTCCTGGATTCCAATGGAGACAAACTTAAACATAAGGTACTGGGGACCTATTCTGTCCTAGATCCCAATGGAGACAAACTTAAACATAGGGTACTGGGGACCTATTCTGTCCTAGATCCCAATGGGAGACAAGCTTAAGCATAAGATACTGGGGACCTATTCTGTCCTGGATTCCAATGGAGACAAGCTTAATCATAAGGTACTGGGGACCTATTCTGTCCTGGATTCCAATGGGAGAAAAGCTTATGCATGAGATACTGGGAAGGCTATTCTGTCCCCAAGCCAATGGGAGACAAGCTACATTTTGAGACACTGGGTGTGTGTGTGTGGGGGGGGCTCTTTTCTAAAGGATTCCAATGGGGGACAAGCTTATGCATGAGATACTGGCAGCCTAATCTCTCCTGGATTCCAATGGGAGAAAAGCTTATACATGAGATACTGGGAACCTAATGACTCCTGGATTCCAATGGGAGACAAGCATGGGGTACTAGTCACCTACTCTTCTTCCTGGATCCCCTTGGGATATAAGCATAGGGTTCTGTAAATCTAGCCTACTCTTGAATCTGAACGGGAGTTAAGCCGGCATACTAGGAAACCATCATACCCCAAAATGCAAACCCCCATGATATATGTGACAGCTGAAGAACCAGTACTCACAAAAAGCTGACGCAGCCAGTGCCCTCCGATGGCGCCATCCACATGAAGGCCAACTCGTGAACCGGCTGACGGCTGACATGGGAGTGGACGATGGAACACATCAGGTTTGTTCCCATTGGCTGTGAGCCAAAGAAGCTCCGCCCACCCATCATCCTGGATTGGATGTCCGTGGTCAGTGTGTAGAGTCCAGTCAACAGGAAGCCATCAAAGTTCATGCTGGACGACACGGTCACTAGAGACACAATAGCATTTCAATCTTTAGGAAATTAAAAAATAAATTTTTGGTAATTCAAATTCAGATTTCTTTGACAAACAGACTTTTTCTATTGTTCCCTCAGTTCCTTCATAAATTATCGATACTCAAAATCACCAGCAACTCTCTAATTCAAACTTTTTGCACTTCAGACTTCATATTGAAATTACGGTCCCAACAACGAGTTAACTATTGAAAAGAAGCTGTCTAAATTGGACTGGACCAGACCAGACTGGACAGGATATTCTTTCACTTTGACGTAAGCTCAGTCAATGTCAGCTAAAACAACACTGCTAATTCTGCATGTAATCTATTGACCATGACACTTTGTTGTCTGCTTGGTTAATTAGAACCTAAGCTTAGTTAGATTAACTCGGTGTCATGAGCGTGTCAGTAAATAACAGTAAACACAGCTGTCATTATCAATTGCAATGGCTGAGCGACCGGCAAAGAAAAGGCAATTTTGAAAAACAATTCTTCAGAAACATAAGCATGTTTTAAGATGTATTAACGCCAGCCCATGGCAATATTTCTTGTACAATGTGTGCATGTGTGTAAAGATGAATGATTGTTGTTTTTTGTTTTGTCTTCAGTCCAACTTTTGTACTCTGTGTAATCCGGACCTCGCCATAAACAAGACGTTTTTACCAGTCCCAACCAAGTCCGTATTGAACAGATCCCACTGCTCTTGAAATGTCAGGTTCAAGTTTCTAGCGTGAGTGAGGATAAGGGTCTTATGCTTACAGTTATCTCTCTAAAAGACAATGCATTAATTCATTAGTTCCTTGATAGTCTTTAACAAGCACTAACTCATACAGACAAAAACATTAACACCATATATGGTATGTCCCTGACATTTGGTATTCTATGACATCACTGAAGTCATGCCACATATTGCTTGTCCCAGACATCTGCGTCCATTGGCGCAAAATGACCTTAGTGCTACAACTATCAAATCAGGAAATATTTAAGCATGGGAATAACCATCATTATAGTGCTAAGATCACTTTGTGAAAATGTACCCTGGTGTTCTATCAAATCAGTCACACCATATATTGTCTGTACCAGACAACTGGCGATTTATAACACGAATACAGTAACACCATAAGGACTAGAAGTTGGATAACATTGAAGGAGAGAGTATTGTTTTACTGCTCTATATATTTCCAGTATATTTGTTTGGTGTTTTTCACTGTTAAATGCAGAGGTAGTTCAGATAAACCAGTGACTGATATCATGAGCAACGAGTATGATGACATGTAATAAATAAAGTCATGAAGTCTGTCTACCCGGTCCATTATGTTGTCTTGGTTGGTGGAACCTATTCTAACCAAGAATCCCCATTGGGAGACCAGCACAGGTTGGTGGGGACCTATTCTAACCAAGAATCCCCATTGGGAGACCAGCACAGGTTGGTGGGGAACTATTCTAACCAAGAATCCCCATTGGGAGACCAGCACAGGTTGGTGGGGAACTATTCTAACCAAGAATCCCCATCGGGAGACAAGCACAGGTTGGTGGAGACCTATTCTAACCAAGAATCCCCATTGGGAGACCAGCACAGGTTGGTGGGGGCCTATTCTTACCAAGAATCCCCATTGGGAGACCAGCATAGGTTGGTGGGGAACTATTCTTACCAAGAATCCCCATTGGGAGACCAGCACAGGTTGGTGGAGAACTATTCTTACCAAGAATCCCCATTGGGAGACCAGCACAGGTTGGTGGGGAACTATTCTTACCAAGAATCCCCATTGGGAGACCAGCATAGGTTGGTGGGGGCCTATTCTAACCAAGAATCCCCATTGGGAGACCAGCATAGGTTGGTGTGGGCCTATTCTAACCAAGAAACCCCATTGGGAGACCAGCATAGGTTGGTGGGGAACTATTCTAACCAAGAATCCCCATTGGGAGACCAGCACAGGTTGGTGGGGACCTATTCTAACCAAGAATCCCCATTGGGAGACCAGCACAGGTTGGTGGGGAACTATTCTAACCAAGAATCCCCATTGGGAGACCAGCATAGGTTGGTGGGAACCTATTCTAACCTGGAATCCCCATGTCATTACAACCAGCACAGGTTGGTGGGGAACTATTCTAACCAAGAATCCCCATTGGGAGACCAGCATAGGTTGGTGGGGAACTATTCTAACCAAGAATCCCCATTGGGAGACCAGCATAGGTTGGTGGGAACCTATTCTAACCTGGAATCCCCATGTCATTACAACCAGCACAGGTTGATGGGGACCTATTCTAACCTGGAATCCCAATGGTACAACCAGCACAGGTTGCTGGGGACCTATTCTAACCCAGAATCCCCATGTCATTGCATGGATCGATGCTCATGATATCAATCACTGGATTATCTGGGCCAGACTTGATTATTTACAGACCGCCGTCATATAGCTTGAATATTGCTGAGTGTGGCGTTAAACAACAAACCAACCAACCAACCAATCAAAAGTTATATTTGACACTGCAACCCAATTATTCTATGGAGACAATGACTGAGAGGCGTGCTCGTATATTTCAGTACTGGGTATGGTGGTAAGAGAGACTTTGTAGCTAGCCATCTTGATAATAGTATGCTAGGTTTAACTCTGGAAATTAACATGCTGTGCTTTCAACAGAGAGCTAGGTTGGTTACCTGCAGATTAAACTGTGCAAAACTGAATTTCGAACTGAACACGCAGCATGAGTTTTCCAATGTTAAATTTACTGCCGTTAAATCTACAGATAACCTAGCTCTACATTGACAACACAGTATGGTATCTCCATTCTACCATGACAAAACTAAATGTGAGGCCTTGATATTGACTGAAGCGGCAACAACTCTCTGTCCTGTATATTAAGTGGGGTGTCGATCTGAATTAAGGAAACACTGATAACAGCCTTTAAACAAAGTATGGTGCTGTATGTGATTAAACATTGTTATTTTACATCAGTATACTTTACTTGCATATATTACAGGCAATGAAGGAGTGTTTGTTTGTTTGTTTGTTGAGCTTCTGTGTGATGCAGATGTCAAATCAGCTGTTACAATCAGAGGTGGGTTATTGTGATTTGAAACATCTGATTGACCCTTTTTATAGATTCATGGTAGAATTCTCATCTTTATTAGTTTGTGTTTTTAATCTCTATGCTCACCTTCAGAGGACCAGATATGAAAATTAAGAAAACAATAATTCTAAAAATATTGCTTTTGGTTGTGAATGCAACTGAACTTAAAGAGTTCAAAGCTGTCACAATTTGAACATTTTCCAAATTTCTCACAGCATCATTATTGTTTATTGTACAATGGTTGCTTTCTTTGTTGCAAGTTTAAAATACCGAAAAAGGGGTGAGCTCCAAATTGAATATTCTTCCAATATTTCTGCTTACGTCATCCTATTGTTCTCCAGTCGGGTTAACTCTCATAAACAGGGACTTTGTAATGTCCCTGGGATTTTATATAATATCCCTGGGATTTTATAGGATATTCAAGTCATATTTGCTATATAATGTGTTATGATATGCCAGGGATTTTATATAATGTCCTGGGTATTTTATTAATATAACTTCTGTTCAGATTGTAACATGTAATGAAATGTAAAATCAAATGACAAATATTTTCTTCCTGAGGATCGAACACGCAACCTTCGTATCTGTAGCCCAGTGAGTGTACCACTAGTTTAGAGAGGCGTTGATTAGTCGCACTGCTTTTTAGAACGTCCTTTTCAAGATCAGTATGCCAGCAACAGATATTTTACGCACGTTTCCTAATGTTCTTGGAAACAGAAAAATGTTGATAAATGTTGTTTAAAGTTTCTTTTTTCGACTTATAAGTAAGATAAAACACTTCCCCTCGGGTTGTTATGATATTTAAAACCCTACCCTCGGAAAATCCCTCGGGATGCGGGTTTTAAATATCATAACAACCCTCGGATGTGTTTTATCCTATACATAAAGCATATTGCTTTCCGCAAAAAGTGAGTGAATGTGTTTCTTCAGCTGTAAACAGCACATCAGTTGCATCCTGCACAACAACTTAAAGCCAAAATCACTTCATTGAAACCAACAAACCAAGAAATCTTAATACGTACTGACAAAGGAAATATACTACTCATAAGAAGTAAAAGAACACCTAACTCTTTTATATTACTACAGTTAATCTCTCATGGCATGACAGATTAACTATAGTAATATAAGGGTTTTACCTTGACTTACAAAAGTCGGGTTCCAGAGGACCCCCAACTATTAATTTTAAGGGTCCTTGCAGGCAATATGAGGGTCCTGTAAAGTAATGAAATGGTGTAGTGTACTGTAAGTACTACATAATTACTTTAGAGCCAGGGATGAATGAATGATCATGTGGACAGAAGTCATGCTGGATGTATGAAATAACAGACACCCATAACTGCTCTTGATATTCTGTAGGTACAATGAATGTTATTGTGCGTCCCTCATGACACTGTGTATATTTTTTCGCCTTCCATTCTCTTCATTTGTGCATACTGGTTGCATATTTGTGTCGCGTAAAAACCCTGTAATATGAAATAATTTCGGTGTTCTTGTACATCTCTTGAGTAGTTTATATTGAATGACCACAAAGTCACCCAAAAAGCATCAACATGACACAAAAGTCCCTAGAAAGGAACAAAGGACTCACCTTGATAAAACTGTCCAGGTACATAGTAATGTGGGTTTCCTTCCACTGTCACACTGATTGCAACCTCGCCCCTCTCAACACCAAACTCCTGCACGTTTCCATGGTAATTACAGAGGAAGAAAAACGGTGACACCGTTAAAAGGCCACTTGACTGATATTGATACAGCGCCATGAATATGGCTGCTATTTGCCAAAACTCCATGATGGAATCTGTAAAACAATAACTCTTCGTTACATTTTCTCCAGGTCACATGGAATACAATCTTATATCTACCATATATATTGTCCAGCTTGTGACGTAAGGACTTTAAATGTAGAGTGCTGCTGAATGTGGAATTTCCTGAAGTGTTTCCCCAATACTTGAGTCCACTTTACCTTCAGCTCTTCATCTTTGGAAAACAGCTCAAATCAAAACCCAAAGATCCTCATTTTTAAATCAACAATTGATGCAAATTGCCACTTCACTTCCATTTAGTGTTTAGATCAAATAAAACTATTTCTAAAATTACCATGAACTTAAACAAATAGGGTTCAGAGATGTATGTGAGTTATGAAGGGGTGTGAGGGGTTAGTGTTAGGAATGCAAGTTCAAGCTGTGAAGCAAGTGTTACAGCGGCTTTTACAACACCACTTAAACATACAGAATGTGAGGGTCAAAGGTGATAGCTTGACCCACAATAAAAATATTTCAATGATCGTATCATTTGATATTCCACAAAACACATTCTTGCTGCATATCAAATTTCACAATCATACCAGTAAAAATGACAAAAATTGCATTTTCAAAATGTCTGCAATGGCAGCAATGTTTAAAGTCATATTGGAGTTCTGTAAGCAAGTTTTAGAGACACCAAAGCTGGGATCATTCATACAAAGCTTTAGCTCCATAACCCTTGTAGATTTAGAGATGCTGAAAATGCATTAACAATAGAAAAACAGGGAACTCATAGGTCATAGCTTGATCTAAAATCAAAACATGACAGTGGTATTTTAGAAGAAGTTGTAACAGTTGCTTGATAGATTAAACAACTTGACGTTGACAGATATTTTCATAATCTTTTCATGTTTTTAATCCAGGTGATCATGTGATTTGATGCTCTTCTCAAGGTAAGACCCGTTCTGTTACAAAATAGATCTTGATCATCGATCATATCATCTTGACTGGGCAAGTGCAAGTGATATGATAGGTGGAATCTGATTGGTCAAAATAGGAGGGACATAGAAGGGACATAACTTGTCATAGCCACTGGTGGCGCTACGGTCGAGTCTGGAACTTCCAGCCTAGTTTGGCAGGGGTGGAAACTGGACATTAATAGTCCGTCAACTCCCTTGCCTCAGGAAGATGGGCTTCAGAAACGAAGGTGCAGTTTACCAGCATTGGTTACATTGTACTTTGTATTAGGGTTTGTTGAGTGAGTGAGTGAGTTTAAGTTTAACGTCACATCGGCAGTATTTCAGCCATATCGTGACGAAACAAAATTTGATATGAACAATATATATTAAACTATATAAAATTCTGCTGACAAAGAGCAGTACAATAACTAGAACATCACAGAATTTCGTAAAACTAGTTTGAGAACAAGTAAAACTTGAGAACTAACTAATCATTTAACAACACATTATAAAAACAGGCTATAGATCGCCACCAACTGAAGGTTGATCACCGCGCTGGGGACCATGGGGACTTACAGTACTTTTGCTACCTGCATGGACCCCAGTCGGATTTACATCATCCCTTCAGTTGTTGACGACGAGTGACAAATTTAGCCAAACAGTAAAATAACACATATACTACTATTAAAAGCGTGGAAGAAATAAATATACCTTGAAAGATGTGGTCTTACATACCCTCTAAGGGGGACAATAATTTTACACTACTTTAACCCCCTTCGAGGATATAGCCACTAACAATCTCAGTTATTGATTAGTTCAACCAATTATAAGATGCATTTATTTATTTACAAAACAGAACAATCAAAACTTATGGAGCAATTCAATTTCCTTTAAAAAAGCAATAATTAAATGAGAACTAATAGTGTTAAAAAGATCCTTCATAGATTTAACCTTGAAATAGTTATCCCTTGTGATGGAAAAATCAACACAGTCAAGCAGGACATGCCTGACTGTGATTCTTTCATCACAAGGGATGCAGAATGGAGGATCTTCACCTTTTAAAATATATTGTATTTTAGGGTGAGATGTGGATTTTGTATAATTTAACATTTTTCCTACCATGTTCTTTGCATCCCTTACAAGAACTATACAAAAAGCTATATATGAAGTTGTCTTCAGGGTTAGAGTTCTGTGCTTATTGAAATACAAAAACATGTGCCTGGTCAAGTGCCTACTCATGCTTTAGTTGCAAATAACTTGTTTGTTTGTTGTTTAATGCCGCACTCAGGCATATTCCAGCTATATGATAGCGGTCTGTAAATGATAAATTCTGGACCAGACCATCCAGTGATTGACATCATGAGCATCGCTCTGCAACTGGGATACGATGACAGTCGCCTATTACAACAAGAATTGTCGCCTCTTACGGCAAGCATGGGTTGGTGAAGACCTATTCTACCCTGGATTTTCATGGGTTAGTTGTATATATCTGAGTGTCTTTTGATATCATATATAACAACAAGTGTTGATATATTTGATATCAAAAGACATGAGGGTGAGATTTTATTTATCATCCAACATCATTCTTCCAACCTTTTCAGTTTGTAGACAGTAAATTAATAAGCAGTGTCTAATGTGTAAAAAGTACTGCTAACAGCTTCAGTAGCAGAGCCATTAGTGATGTCATTTGATTGTGATGTCATGGATAACCAATGACATCATAATGGTTTGCAAAGCATTGTGATGCAATTGAATTGCAGCGATATCTACAATGTATATATTCCTTGATCTCACCCAAGCCATATCTCCTGTGGGAGCCAGTTTCGGTTGATAAAACGGGGTAATTTTCATTTTTTTCATTTTCAAAATTATGTCCAGGGTAATATGTGACCCAAGTCATAAAAAAGTTTTGGCCTTTAGTGACAGTTATCTTGATATCAGGGACTTATCAGCTAAAAATAGTAATTTTTCCCTCATATTTGTGAAAAAAATATAATTATATTCTCCTTTTTTTAATCAGTATTTTCTGTATTTAGCACTGAATGCAATAAGCTACAAAGTCAGCATTAAAGCCCCTTTCTCTTTATTGGTCCTGGTGTCAGTGAAACACAAGTCACCTCCTCTATAAAGCCATAACATTAGTTGAATAACATGAACTGGAATTTTTTTAATTTAATTAGGGAATACTGACAAATATTGGCCTCTGAGCCGGCATAGATAAACCTCTGCTACTACGACCTGCTTTCAGATAAAATGGAAACATGTTGATGATATGAAACTGTGTTTGCTACTTACGCTTGATGTTTACAATTACGATACAGCAATTTACTGTACAGGACAAATCCAATAGAGAACTTCTCATTTCAGTTATTTTCGATGTATCAAAATATTTTCTATGATTGAGTGAGTAAGTATGGTTTTACGCCGCTTTTAGCAATATTCCAGCAATATCACGGCGGGGGACACCAGAAATGGGCTTCACACATTGTACCCATGTCGGGAATCGAACCCGGTCTTCGGTGTGATGAGCGAACGCTTTAACCACTAGGCTACCTGACCGCCCCAATTCTTTCTATGACACTGCAACATAATATATAAGCTTTGATAGTTTATGCATATGTGATCTGCAGTATATGTGTATGACTAGAGTCAGTGTGTGAGAGAGGAGTGTCATTTTTTGTAAATAAATCTAAAAAGTACTGATAAATTGTGAAATATTCTTTTTATGTCATGGCCTTTCTGCTACCCTGGGCTGATGCCTGTTTTATGTAACAGTTACTTCTATTTATAAACAATAATGGAAAAAAAATCTTTCTATGATTAAAACATTCTCCTTGAAAATGGTCACCACCAACTGAGACACATGTTAACCATTCCTACTCTTATTCATACCACACTATCACATGAATCAACTAAAAAAGAATAACTCAACTATTGTAGAAAATACCCATGGTACATTACTAGCATACTATTCCCCAAAGCTAAATAACTTTAGCATGTATACTGAAATAAATTGACAATTCTATCATGTTTAAAATATTTGTCCAAATTTCTGTGAATTTCCATAATTCCATGTTTAAACAGTAGAGATAGTCTTCGATCTTACCTTTATCATCCAACTCTGTTAAAATTCCTTTATCCTCTTGCTGGAAAAGTCAATACACAGCCCGGCAGTAACCACTTACTGGTAACAGAAAACAAACCCAGATCCTTGACACAGAGATCCAAGGCTGAAAGTCCAAACACAAAACGTGATTGTCTCCTCAAACAATATGAATAACACTTCACATCCACTTATAAAATTTATTTTAAAATCTTCAGTTCATGTGAAGTCTAGCATCACTGATCTGAGTGTGAAAACAAATGAAGAAAAAAATGGATCCGAATTAAATATGAATTCCTTCAAAGCTCACTGCAACAAATAAGAACTTTCTATCATGCTAAACCAACGTGGTTTGCTGTCTTCCTTTACGGAAAGAATTTATGATTAAATACCTCGGGGAGATAAAGTTGAAATTTATCTGGTTAAGGAAAACATTAATTTCTCACCAGCAAACAGAGAGCAGGGTTATCTGGTATCCCGAGCCTCAAAGATAAGGTGTTGCTTCAGACCACCTCTGCTGGAGACAACATGTGTTTTACACTTCCCCCAGCTTCCAAAATAAATCTAGCTTATGTAAGAAATTTGTCTGATCGTTAATATGAACATTAGATTCATATTTGTTCACAAAAACTTATGCAAAGTGCCATAATTAAATTGTTTAATTTGACAATAATTTCCCCAATAAAATAACATTTGTTCTAAACATTTTTCAAATAAAAAAATGTCAAAGAATGTTTTAAATAACTTTAAGTTAAAATAGTCAACTATACATTATTTTTTTTGATAATCACAAACAGAAAAGACAAGAAAGCATTACAATTTTGTTACAGATGTAACAGACCAAATCTATTCTAAATTCATCAATCAATAATATGATTATTTAAGTTTTCTAATAAGTATAATTCTCTTTATTTTCTAATACTGCTGACAATGTAAGAATATGTCCAATTAGCAAATATCTCTCACAAACTACGTTGAAACCTGACCATGACACACTGACTTGACCAGTCACATGATGCGAGGCGTACGTCACTACTCACGATGGCGATGCGCCATAACTGTACGAGCACACAATTAGCGGGCGAAGGTTCTTCACATAGGAAATGGCAGCTTACAGCAACCCTAAACAGTTCCGATATCAACCACATGTCTGCCTCAGTTCTGTCAGACTCCGGATCACTATCACCAGAAAGGTGACAAATTGGTACCCAGACTTGCATAAATATCAGATTATATCAACAACTTATCTCAACACAGCTTAATAACGTGATAAGTGGCCTCTCGTGTTTATACGTTACATAAAAACATTAATTAGGATTGACAGAAAATGTTAACATAAGGTAGAAAAAATAACAGAACTTTCCTTTCACAAAAAAACAAGTTTACAAGACAAGGAAGTATTTTAATTTCCATTCAACTTTCTTCAGACTTGAACACACATTTTTTCTTAAATTTGAATGAAAATCTAATTCTGGTAAGTAAGTTTTTGAGAGCCTTAGAGTGACAACATTGGGTTGCTGCGTCGGACTAACTATGTGAAAGGTTGGTTTGTGATAATGATTAAGCTATCCTTCATGGTATCTTGAACCACAGTGCCAGAGGTTCAGAAGCTCACCTTTATACACTGATATAAAGATGAGGATTGAGGATGTGCCATCTATTTGTCTAAAAATGATTCAGTGTCTTTCCTGATAAAACAAATGACTACAGCCATATACAGTCAAGTCCCGCTAATCCGACATGGTTGGTTGCATATGATTATGTCGGATTAACAAGTATCTCGGATAAAAGAAATTAAGTATCAACGTTCGTGATCGAAAATCGCACAACTACACGATAGATAATGATGCAAACACTAATTGTTCATTAATTGTTTATTGTTCAGCAAATTTATCCCTGCAGGCGTTGTGATATGCAGCTACCAGCCTACTCATCTCGCATCAAAATACGCATTAACGAGATTGATTAATGAGTGATTTCAGTAATTCGTTGCAAATTAGGTGTGTCAGAGTCAGAGTGCAAGACTGTTTGATTAACGGGTCTAAATAGCACTGATTTAATCAGTTCCCATCATTAGTGTCGGATAAAGTCGATTGTCAGATTAACGAGTGTCGGATTAACGAGACTTGACTGTATTACACAGTTGTATGTCCCTGATATCTATGTTATATAAATCCTTATCCATGTTATTAACACCCATTAGGTAAATTGTTTGTCACCCCTTATGGCCCTGTCACACTACAACGTTTTAGAGTAACTTGCACCTAGAGTGTAAAAGACAGTTAGTACGCTGTCATACGTCGAGCTTTCATTGAAAAACCATGATTTTGGCGTATCCATAGCGTATACATAACGAGTTCACCGTATATGTAACGCATGTCTAACGTATTAGTAGCGTATCACTGATTTATACATAACGTATGAGCGTGTGTGTCTGGCGTGTTCAACATATGGCCAGCGTATGAGTAACGTATGACTAGCTCGCTCAGTGTAGGGGAAAGGTGTCTAAAACGGGCCCTGCGGGAGTATAACTAGTAGCGACACCCATTCATCAAATTAACACGAAAAGCGAGAGCAGTCTAGATATGTAAAAGGTTCATACGTTCCCATACACTGAACATTTTGTGCATACACAAAAATGTTTTTTAAGCCTAAGCGTACAACAACATATACCAGCGTGCTTTTATCGTATCCAACTTACACCTAACTTAACCATAGTGTTTCAGCGTTGCCAGTGTTTTGGCAAACATTCTTATACGTCACCATACGTTACTGCCATACGTTGTAGTGTGACAGGGCCATTAGATGGGTAAGTAAACTAGTGTCAGTCTGATTCGCGTGAACAGACACTAAAAATATACTTCTCAAAAGAAGTTAAGGAACACGTGATTCTTTCATATTACAATAGTTATTTTGTCATGGCATTATATAGTTATAATAAAGACTCAGGTTTTCTTTAACTTCTTTTGAGTAGTATATATATAAAACTCATGTTTTAATCAAATTGTTATTGATAATGAGTGAGTGAGTATGGTTTTACGCCGCTTTTAGCAATATTCCAGCAATATCACGGCGGGGGACACCAGAAATGGGCTTCACACATTGTACCCATGTCGGGAATCGAACCCGGGTCTTCGGCGTGACGAGCGAACACTTTAACCACTAGGCTACCCGACCGCCCCTATTGATGAGGTAATAGGAGTTGTATACATATCTGGGCACCATCAGTGATTAAAAACACATGGGAGGCAAATACAGACTGTATATATAAAGGGTCAACAGAGATTGTATTTTTCCTTCGTTGATTAAGAAATTTTCAAACTGACTCTACCATCATATCAATGTCTTATGAACATTTTTATTTTAACTTTATTTTAAAATTTTGACTTTCAGCTTCACTCACTGGTTCTAAAAACTGTCTGGTCGCAACAAAACCAAACTGTTCAAAATCTGTAACATGGTGAATAAAATCATTGGCATGTCTCTTCAGGACATTGGCAGTATTTATGAACAGCAAATAGTTAATAAAACAAATGATATATTAAGCGTTATCTAAAAAAAAAATTCATTTGGAGAATGATTATGCAATACAGAGGACCTTTGGTTGTCAGATGGTTGTGGAATACCAAGGACCTTTAGTTGTCAGATGACTATGGAATACAGAGGACCTTTGGTTGTCAGATGGTTGTGGAATACCAAGGACCTTTAGTTGTCAGATGACTATGGAATACAGAGGACCTTTGGTTGTCAGATGGTTGTGGAACACCCAGGACCTTTGGTTGTCAGATGATTGTGGAATAGAGGACCTTTGGTTGTCAGATGGTTGTGGAATACCAAGGACCTTTGGTTGTCTGATGATTGTGGAATACCAAGGACCTTTGGTTGTTAGATGGTTGTGGAATGCAGAGGACCTTTGGTTGTCAGATGGTTGTGGAATACCAAGGACCTTTGGTTGTCTGATGATTGTGGAATACCAAGGACCTTTGGTTGGTAGATGGTTGTGGAATGCAGAGGACCTTTAGTTGTCAGATGGTTGTGGAATACCAAGGACCTTTGGTTGCAAGAAAATTATGGAATACAGAGGACCTTTGGTTGTCAGGTGATTATGGAACATAAAGCACCTTTGTCAGATGAGTAAAGAATAAAGAGGACCTTTGGTTGTCAGGCAAGTATGGAATGCAGAGGGTCTTTTGTAGTCAGAAGATTATGGAATACAGAGGACCTGTTGTTGTCAGAAGATTATGGAATACAGAGAACCTTTGGTTGTCAGATGATTATGGAATACAGAGGACCTGTTGTCAGAAGATTATGGAATACAGGGGACCTGTTGTCAGAAGATTATGGAATACAGAGGACCTGTTGTTGTCAGAAGATTATGTAATACAGAGGACCAGTTGTTGTCAGAAGATTATGGAATACAGAGGACCTTTGGTTGTCAGATGATTATGGAATACAGAGGACCTGTTGTCAGAAGATTATGGAATACAGAGGACCTTTGTCAGATGATTATGGAATACAGAGGACCTTTAGTTGACAGATGATTATGCAATATAGAGGGCCTGTTGTTGTCAGATTATGGAATACAGGACCATCGGTTGTCAGATGATTATGTAATACAGAGGGCCTGTTGTTGTCAGAAGATTATTGAATACAGAAAGCCTGTTGTTGTCAGAAGATTATGGAATACAGAGGACCTTTGGTAGTGAGATGATTATGTAATACAGAGGGCCTGTTGTCAGAAGATTATGTAATACAGAAAGCCTGTTGTTGTCAGAAGATTATGGAATACAGAGGACCTTTGGTAGTCAGATGATTATGGAATACAGAGGGCCTGTCAGATGATTGTGTATACAGAGGATCTTTGGTTGTCTTAGAGGTTGAATTTAGAGGAGACTATGGTTGTCAATTGATTATGGAAGATGATTACAGAAGATATCTGGTCATGGAATACTGAGGACCTTTGGTTGTCAGAAGATCATGGAATACAGAGGACCTGTTGTTGTCAGAAGATTATGGAATACAGAGGACCTTTGGTAGTCGGATGATTATGGAATACAGAGGACCTTTGGTAGTCAGATGTTGTAGGGTGTGTTGCTCAATAACAAAGAAGACTGAATCTCTCAAGCAGCCAAAATTAACATAAGGACCTCTGGCAGTCAGACAGTTAGGGAATACAGAGGACCTTTGGCTGTCAGATGACTATTGAATACAGAGGACCTTTGGCTGTCAGATGACTATTGAATACAGAGGACCATTGGTTGTCAGATGATTGTGGAATACAGAGGACTTTTGGTCATTGAATTTAGAGGACTTTTGGCTGTCAGATGATTGTGGAAGAGACAGAGGACCTTTGGTCATGGAATACAGAGGACATTTGGTTGTCAGATGACTATGGATGCAGAAGACCTGTTGTTGTTAGATGATCATTGAATGAAGAGGACCTTTGGTCATGGGATACAGAGGACAATTGGTTGTCAGATGACTATGGATGCAGAGGACCCGTTGTTGTTAGATGATCATGGAATGCAGAGGACCTTTGGTCATGGAATACAGAGGACATTTGGTTGTCAGATGACTATGGATGCAGAGGACCCGTTGTTGTTAGATGATCATGGAATGAAGAGGACCTTTGGTCATGGAATACAGAGAACATTTGGTTGTCAGATGACTATGGATGCAGAGGACCTGTTGTTGTTAGATGATCATGGAAATGAAGAGGACCTTTGGTCATGGGATAAAGAGGACAATTGGTTGTCAGATGACTATGGTAAAAAGGACCTTTGTCAGATGTTTGGGGAATACAGGACCTTTCGTGGTCATATGACTATGGAATGCAGAGGACCTGTGGATGTCAGATGCTTATTGAATACAGAGCACCTTTGGTTGTTAGATGACGAATACAGAGGACCTTTGGTTCTTTGGTTGTCTGATGATTAAGGAATACAGAGGACCTTTGGTTGTCAGATGATTATGGAATACAGAGGACCTTTGGTTGTCAGATGATTATGGAATACAGAGGACCTTTGCTTCTTTGGTTGTCAGATGATTATGGAATATAGATGACCTTTGGTTGTCAGATGATTATGGAATACAGAGGACCTTTGGTTGTCAGATGATTATGGAATACAGAGGACCTTTGGTTGTCAGATGATTATGGAATTCAGATGACCTTTGGTTGTCAGATGATTATGGAATACAGAGGACCTTTGGTTGTCAGATGATTATGGAATACAGAGAACCATGGTTGTCAGATGATTAACAACATGTATTCTTTGATGTACAGTTGCAAGTGGTTCTGCATTGAGGTGTCGGTCTCAAGCTTTTGGAACAAGCTTCATGGACGAAGTGTGACCTTGCAGAAATGATGTAAGATGGGAGATGAATGATCCCGATCTGAACTCTCAAACAACAAGATACAAATATTTAAATTGTAATGTTAGTAACTCTATTAATGGTTGGACTTGCAATTTAAACAGAGTTGATTTGATATTGGATTGTCATTGTTGTTAGCAGAGATGCCACACTCTACAATTTTGGTTGAATCCTTAAAATATTTTGTGCCAAATTCTGCCAATATGATGAAGTGAAACATACAATGAAATGTACAAGACACATGCCAGTGAATTAGATAAGTTGTTGACCTCACTACAGGCATTTTCACACACACAACCAATTAAGAAGCAGTTAATAATCACTTGTCTTAGTTTGTATTTGGAAGGTCTACAGATGCAATGTATACCATATCATGTAAGCAACAGTATCAGAAACAAATCCAACACAAAGAAAGCTTGATTCTGATTGGTCAAAACATGACTTAAATCAGGTATCAATTTCCATTTGATACCTACAAATAAAACGTTTTTGCGCTTAAGAGCTTGGTTCAAAATTAAAAAAAGAGGAATCGAATCTGCAGTAAGCAGGTAAGACTACCTCAAATTTCAAAACACAGTTGGTTTATCTCTTAAATAAACTAGCTTTTTTAGACAGTATTTGAAGTTGCCATGAAATTCATTGACAAATTTCCTTTTTTGGTAAATAACTAAAGCATGTTTGGACACCAAGTTACTTCCACAATATATGTAGCATCATCCAGCAGAAGTCACCATGATTTAAGTGTATGTATTCAAATGTCAATTAACTAAGACACAAAAAATGAAATTAACTGAATTCTAACCAATCAATCAAAATTTCACTTTGCTTGCTCCAACACTGAGAGGTGTTCACATGAGAGAGCAATATATTCCCTAAAACTGAACTCCAAAGTAGGGTGTGCCACAAGGAAATATGTGATGACTGACACAAAAAACTTCAGTTTCATTAACTGACAGAATCAAGACACGATATATACAAACATATTTTATTCTCATATATTCACAGAATGCAAACACAAAATGGCGTTTCAGAAAAATTGAAAGACTAGCTTTTCTTCCCTTGGAAGTGGATCACATACTGCAGAGCCTGGACAAGAGACTTCCACAGTACTCCCAACTACATCTTTTACGAATGTGACAGTTCATGCCAAAAACATTCTTGCAATAAGTCAGGAACTTCTTTCCCATTCTCTCTTCATCTGTTTTCATCTGTCAAGTATTTCCACATATCATGACAGACAGCAAGTACCATTGTCTTCCATTTTCAAGCAAAATCATAAAGATATCGCGTCACCTCGAAGCTGACTGTCCTGGAAAATATAAACAAACCCCCTTAGAATGTGGAAATTGGCATAAAACAATAGATAATGTCCATCTATATCAGCATGGAGAGAAAAGAACGATTATTTCACAACGTACACAATACTGCCTTCCTGTAATCAACTTTGGGCCAGACAAAGCAGTGGTTGACAGCATCATAAATAAATTGCAAGTGATTCTGTGGAATTTAATTGGCTAACCAAGCATTCATATTGCGTTTATGTCTTCAAAACCGAAAAGACATCAAGCCACACCCACCAACAGACAGCTGTTTCCTGATTGACTGATAATAGAATGTTTCAGGCTTGTGTTGCATTATGGGAATGAAAGATGACATTTCGTATCTTTGTCTACAGTTTCCATGTGTTAATGATGAGAAGTCTGAAGATATTATTGTTGACATATTTATTTGATAAGAATTGTGTACAATATGTTTTGGCGATGCGGATTTACACAGCAGGCACACTGGTTTATACCTCCATAAATGCAAAAAAATATTGAAGTCAATTCTTATGAAATACAATAATATCTTTAGACCTCTTATTTAATAATTCTTAAACATTCTTGAATAAACATCACATGCCAAGTCACAGAGCCAGACAACCCAATCCCATATGGTTTTTGTGACAAGCATGAGGTACTAGGAACCTATTCCGACTGAGGTATCAGGAACTAGAACAATGTCTGCATTACTTGCGAAAACAGCAGCAGCTACTCACAAACGCCACAATATCACGTCAGTCTGTAAATAATTGAGTCTGGACCAGACAATCCAGTGACTTGACATCATGACCATCAATCTACACAATTAGGATACGTTGATATACATCAACTAAGTCAATGAACCTGACCACCCAATCCCGTTAGTCACCTCTTAGGGATGCCAAAGACCCATTCAAGTGAGTGAGTATGGTTTTACACTACTTTTAGCAATATTCCAGCAATATCATGGCGGGTGACACCAGAAATGGCTTCACAAATTGTACCCATGTCAGGAATTGAACCCGGGTCTTCGGCATGACGAGCGAACGCTTTAACCACTAGCCTACCCAACTGCCCAAGACCCATTCAAACCTGAATTTTTACGGGAGAAAACTAACAAGAACTTTGCAGGGACAATGACATCCCCAGTACAAAGTGCATCTCATCCTAGAGGGGGGCCCAGTAGTCTGAGGTACCACAATTTTCTGTGCAGAGTTGTGTCCCTTGGGCATGCTAGAAACCTATGATGGTGAGTTCGAATCCCGGTTCGACCCAATTAAGTTTCGAGGTTTGTCACCACCATACCTGCGTTCGTGGGTTTTTAAAGTGGTAAACATCTGATACCAGCATCAACTTGGGGTTTCCTCCCACATTAAGCAGACATGCCGTGATATAACTGCTGTGATGTTCAAAGCAGCGTTAAACCAAACTCACTCACTCTCATCTGAGAATCAACTTTATAACAAAGCTTTAATCTAAGGAAAAGTTGTACAAAACTTCTCTATTTTCTAAATGCTAGATGTAATGCATTGCCTATTACCTAGAAACAGACTTGATGAAGTCCAGTGAGACCAGACACTTGTATCGGGGCATGTCAATCTGGTCCTCTCCTGCTGCTGGGCCAAGGAGGTGAAGGCTGACAAGGGAGGTAATCTGAAAGAAATCAAATTCTTAAATTATGGAATGAACAAAGGGGTATTGAAAACCACTATTTGGGAAGGGTAGGTAAGTAAAATTCAAGATTTTATGACAGCAGCCAGTAAAGAATCAAGTCTGGACCAGACAATCCAGTGATTGAGATGATGAGCAGCATCCAATGCCATCAGGGTACAAGGCCCCAGACCCGTGATGATCCAGGTCTTCAGCAACCCATGCTTGTCGTAAGAGGCGACTTACGGGATTGGGTGGTCAGGCGCGCTGACTTGGCTGATGCATGTCATGGTATCTCAATTGAGTGGATCGATGGTCATGATGTCAATCACTGGATTGTCTGGTCCAAACTCAATTATTTACAGACCTCCGTCAAAAAGCTGGAATATTGCTCAGTGCGGCGTTAAACAAACAAACAATGCCACATAATCAACCAGGTAAACAGGCCTGAGCACCTGATCAATTTAGTTGCCTCACGTTTCTTTGTTTTTTTGGTTTTGTTTGTTGTTTAATGCCACACTCTGCAATATTTCAGCCTCTAAATAATCTAGTCTAGACCAGACAATCCAGCAATTAATATTTTACATTAAGTCACTTCTTACAACTTGTGTAGGTTCCATGGGGTCTATTCGAACCTGGAATTCAGTGTAGAAGTGGGCTGTTGTACCTACCTGGGAGTAGATGATGGCTGTCGGGGCCACCTTCCCTTCCACGATGGAGTAGAATATTGCCAGGAGTCGGTCGAGAGGGAAAGGTTTGGGGCCCAGAAGGTGGTTGCTTGCCTGTAATAGAATACATGACATGAGGGCTTAACATCACGTTCAAGATTACTGCACTTAACGACGTACATGCACAACAGTGATAAGTGTGGGTGTGCACGTGACTGGTGTGTGTATACTAGCCTGGACTTATGCCGGTTTTACATTGCTAGCCCATTGAGGTGAGGTGAAATGGGGTTTAACGTCACATCCAAGATTATTGCACTTATAATAATATAGTCACATGCATGCACATGTGTGTGTGTGGCTGCTTGTACTAGTCCGGACTAATGCCGATTTTAAAGTGCTAGCACACTGACATACCCTGCTGCAGTTTAACATGAATACCCCACTCAGACACAGCATACTACTCCGAGCCAACCAGTTTTTGTTTTAGCCCCAAAATGCTGAGCGCCAGGCAGGGTAACAACAAGTACCATCTTTTCACTTTTTTTTTAGGTCCGACATGGCCACGTATCAATCACTGGACCTTCCGCTCTCCAGGCGGATGCTCTACCACTAGACCAAGGAGGCGGTCTGCTAGACCACTGAGATACCATGTCCCAGTTTCAAATGGATACCCATATATTGACTCTGAGCCGTCCACACGCTTTTAACCCCTGAATGTTGAATGCCAAAAAGATATGAGGACTGTCACCAATTGTTTGAGACATCACAAACTGGTAACATTTTATCATCTGGACAATAGGTTGACGTTTTTCTTCATTTTCTTTCTTAAATGACAATGAGTAACACATGACCTACACTAACTAAAACCCATAATGAATGATTGCTGAAAGTTCTTCACAAAAGGCTGGGGTTTGAAATCATTCAATTCCAACAGGTAACCATCCTTGAAGCTCACTGGTTAGTTCTAATTCTGTGATAAACAAGGTAGGGTTGTCAGGAGCTATATTGTTCTGAGGTATGCAGGCAAGCTTCAGGACCAACTGGGTTGGTTGGTTTGTTGTTTAATGCCGCACTCAGCAATACTCCAGCTATATGAGGCCAGTCCGTAAATAATCGAGTCTTGACCAGACAATCCAGTGATTAATATCATGAGCATCAATCCACGCAATTGGGATCGATGACATGCATCAACCAAGTCAGCAAGCCTGACCACCCAATCCCGTTAGTCGCCTCTTACGACAAGCATAGTCACCTTTTACAGCAAGCATGGGTTGCTGTGGACCTATTCTACCCCGGATCTTCACCCCGGTCAGGACCAACTAGGAGACACAGGAGTGGGTGAGTGAGTTGGGTCTAATGCCGCTTTTAACATTATTCCAGTTATATCATGGCGTGTCAGCTTAATGTGGGAGGAAAGCCCGAATTGATGCAGGTCTAAGACGTTTACCACTTCGGTGAAACCCACGAGCACGGGTATGGTGCTGACAAACCTAGAAACATAATTGGGGCGAACCGGGATTCGAACCCACAATCATAGGTTTCTGGCGTGTCCAAGGGACGCAACTCTGCACAGCGAATTGCGGCGCCTTAGACAACTGGGGCACCCGTGCCCCCAGGTGACACAGGAACAAAAATGGTGATCTAACAAGATATTTCGCCGGATATCAGCATGATAAGTGTAAACTTTCCGCATCTCAGACAGGAACATGTGAAAGAACTGATGGAATCTACTTACTCTCTCCTGCTTCTTGGCCTTGGCCCTCTGTGGTTTTGTCCTACTCTTGGCTGTATGCTGGAAACATAAGGTAGCAGTGTGAAGCAAGAGTTGCCTCCCTTATTCTGACAGTAAACTCATGTTGTTTCTTTTAAGGTTTATTTTAGGCTTAAAAAATAAAAGAATTGGTTCTCAGGCAATGTTTTTTGAAAATATGGTGGGGGCGGGGGTGTTTTCGGTTGTTTGTATTTGTTGTTCAAACTAGTATATAACCAAACAAACAGTTGTTTAACCAAATAAACAATCAACTCCCTTCATAATGTATTCCTTGATGAGTAAAACACTGGAATACAGTATTTTGACTACCACTAATGATTTATTTGTTTTTTTTAAAAATGGAAATAAAAATGAAACGTGCGGCAAACTTGAGGTGGTGCTTGAGAACCAAGACTATTATCTTTATATATCAGAAGAAGTATTATCTTTTTTTAGCCTTAATGGTTCCCATCATATATGTCAGAAGAAGTTGGTTAACATGAAGGAAAGGTACTGAGACTATGGTCATATTTTCATTGAAAACAGTAATTATGATGTCAAGTGTCTTGAAAACAACAAAGGGAAACACACTTGTTGGAGTAAGCATTGAGTAGATTTGTACTGCTTGTTCGGAATAATTCAACCTTTTCAACAACAGGGGGTAAGTGACATTAGTTTTACACCATTGTTCGCAATTCTCCAGAAATATTCAGGAGATCGATATTAGAGGTATGGATTTTAAGGACCAAGACACGTTTTTTAAATTGGTCAGCATTTCAGATTTATCACAGCCTGTCGGCTGTGGGAGGAAAGTCTGAAGGACAGCACAAACTCTCACCTTGACAAAGAACCTGCGGTCTGACTTGACAGGGTTGTACGAGGCGAGGTACGCTGCGATCAGCAGGTACTTGGAGTAGTAGGGAAGCTCCACATGTGATCGCGACGCTGGAACTGTGCAATATTGTCAAAACATGAGTCGTGAATGTGTCCCAGGTTTGTATGGACAACATACCTCCATCACTCCTTAATACATGTGTGTGTGGTAACTATTGTTATACCTCTATTAAGAATCTTGCAATTCCATTTCATTGTACCACGTGACAAAACAATACATTTCAATGTTGACACCGAAATCAGGTGACAGACACTGACCTTGAATACTGACTCGTCACATGATCAGTATTGACCTGTCATGTTATGAAAACAAGATGGCGTCTGGTACAAACATTTTACAAGCTAAGTTACTGTAATGAAACAGAGGATGGTTTAAAGACATTATAAACTTTAAAGTGAATTTCAGTATAACAAAACAAATGATTACTTTTGACAATGTAAATATGCAAAAACACGGACCATTGGCCTTCTGCAGTCTGACCAGACATGTTGCAACATGTTGCTGTTTTTCAATGTTAAGTTCAATAGAACTAGATCACACCTATCAAACACAAACACAAATACTTACTTCAGAACTTTGTTTCTTTGGAAAGACACTGACCTCATTCTTTCTCATTTTTTTGTATGTAGTGAATGAACCTTCTCAGGATACAAAACTATCTTGTTTACATTGTTGAGAGAGGAATCAAAATTGTTTGCACTTGATTGTTTGGTTGTTTGGATCAATTTTCAATTATTTCAATTAATCGGAACACAACTGGTTGTGACACATGTATATTTTAAGTCAGCTAATGAGTGAGTGAGTGAGTGAGTTGGGTTTAACGCTCGATTTACGATTTATTTTTTGTGATTTGTCAATATTCATAATGTCTGAATGTGGGCAGGAAATTTTGAAGATGGGCAGGCAACACTTATGTAGAGTTATGTCTTGTTGAGTTTTAAATTATTTCAAACACTGCCCTGGAGTGTTTAGGGACTGTCATATCAGTTAATTATTTCTGAAGTAGTGTGTCCAGCATTTCCTACATGATAGTGAGTGAGTTTTGTTTAACGTAGCCCTGAGCGGTATTTCAGTACTTACTTGGGTTTATGGCAGCTGAGTCTTGTTCTTTCTGTAGTTTCTCCCACTGAGAGCTGAACAGAAACAAGAACAGGAATACAGTGAGTGAGTTGGGTTTAATACCCCTTTGATTGTGAGTGAGTTGAGTTTAATACCCCTTTGATTGTGAGTGAGTGAGTTGGGTTTAATACCCCTTTGATTGTGAGTGAGTTGGGTTTAATACCCCTTTTATTGTGAGTGAGTTAGTTGGGTTTAATACCCATTTGATTGTGAGTGAGTGAGTTGGGTTTAATACCCCTTTGATTGTGAGTGAGTTGGGTTTAATACCCCTTTGATTGTGAGTGAGTGATTTGGGTTTAACGCTGCTTTGATTGTGAGTGAGTGAGTTGGGTTTAACGCCGCTTTTAACAGTATTCCAGTTATATCACGGCATGTCAGATAAATGTGGGAGGAACACGGGCACGAGTATGGTTCTGATAAACCTGTCTGTCAGATAAACAGTATTCCAGTTAAATCACAGCGTGTCAGCTTGATGGGTGGAAAGCCCAAAGTAATGCAGGTCTCAGATGTTTACCACTTCGGTGAAACCCACGGCACGGGTTTGGTGCTGACAAACCTAGAAACATAATTGGGGCGAACCAGGATTCGAACCCACGATCATAGGTTTCTGGCGTCCCCAAGTGACGAAACTCTGCACAGTGAATTGTGGTGCCTTAGACGACTGATCCACCCGTGTCCCCTTTGAACAGTATTTCAGTATTGTTGACACATATAAGCTCAATAGAGAAAATTTGAAGTTATCCATGCTGTTTACTACTTTTTGAAACACATAAACGATATCTTAAAAATATATGTCAAGGCAGTGCTAAGTCACTGGTGCTCAGACCCTGGTCATCATTGGTAGGAGTCATCTTCCCGAGGCAAGCATGTCCACCAGCCTATATCAAAGCCTAGCTTATACCCTTGCCACATCAAGGCCAATTTTCTTGGCTCGACCCTGGCGCCACCTCATGTAGATCATGAATTGTGCCCCTTGTAATGAAAACACAATATCCAATAAGAACGCTCTTCTTATCTCGCACAGCTTCACAAAGATAGCAACTATCATAGGTGACAACCTAGTTGATCAGATAACGAAAACATTTACGATTTCTTACCTGACACAAAAACAGGCATTGGTTGGGGGGTTTAAAAGATGAAAAAGATCTATTCGTGTCAACAACGACAGGCAGCGTCAAATCACATTCATACGAAGATTTACAAGTCGTGGATGTTGATTTTGTGAAATGTTCTCTGATTAGACTATCGATATGTTTGATAAAAAGGCTAGTGGACGCACATGATGGGTAGGAAGTTGAGTAGGAATAGGGTTGCTAAATTTCAGTGGTACAGCAGTTTCAGGGGATGAGTATGGTAAATAATAACACAAAGGACCTCAATTCATAATCAGCTTAAAATACATCCTTCATTATGGCTTTTTTTACATCTCCATTGCATTAAATACCCTGGACACAATTGCCTCCAAAGAGCCTCGTTTCTAAAGCTATGTTACAGAATTTGGTTAAATGACTATTTTTAGCATTGTGACATTTGAATTGGGCTCCAAAGAAGCTCTGGTGGTGAAACGGTCCAGGGCATTTGTCATAATAAACATAACACATGATACACAGGATTATGAAGGATGCTGAAAATGGGGTGGGGTGAAATGGGGTGAAATGAAAGACTGTATTGGCATGAGTGCGTGCGTGCATGTCTGCTTGTACTAGTCCAGATTAATGCTGATAGTGCTACCCCACTGAGATATCATGCCACAGTTTAACATGAATACCCCACTCAGGCACAGTATATTGACTCTGAGCTGACCAGTCCTTTTTTTACCCCCTTAATGCCGAGTGCCAGGCAGGGTAACAACAAGTATCATCTTTTAACGTCTTTTGGTATGACGCGGCCGGGGATCAAACCAAACACAATATTTCTTCACCTCGATATTTCTCTCAGGTAGATTGTCTGCAGTGCTTTCTTCAAGTGAGGTTCTACGTTTTTCCACAGCTTGCGGAAATCATTGACAGTCGCCTCTTCGCTTTCAATCGGCTCAACGTACTTGGTGAAGTTGAGCGATGCCTAAAGTAAATATACAAAAATGAGTCTATCTCTTGATCGTTAAGTTTAATGTCTGGAGATGTTTTTTGGTTTGGTTTACTGTTTAAAGCCGCACTCAGCAATATTCCCGCTATGTGTCGGCAATCTGTAAATAATCGACTAGACAATCCACTGAGTGATATCATGAGCATCAATCCACGCAATTGGGATACGATGACATGCATCAAACAAGTTAGCGAGTCTGACCACCCAATCCCGTCAGTCGCCTCTTATGACAAGCATAGTTGCCTTTTATGGCAGGCATGGGTTGCTGCTGAAGACCTATTCTACCCCGGATCTTCACAGGTCGTCTGGAGGTCGTTACCCAGTAGCTATCCATAGAAGGCTTGTCACTTTTCCCGAATCACCTTTTCCAACCACTGCTGGAGTGGAGCGGAGAGCCCAATGCCACTCTTACTTAGAGTGCATGGGTTGGGTGGAGTGGAGTGGAGTGGAGTGGAGTGGAGTGGAGTGGAGTGGAGTGGAGTGGAGTGGAGTGGAGTGGAGTGGAGTGGAGTGGAGTGGAGTGCCCAATGCCACTCTTACTTAGAGTGCATGGGTATGGTGGAGTGGAGTAGAGAGGAGTGGAGTGGAGTGGAATAGAGTGGAGTGCCCAATGCCACTCTTACTTAGAGTGCGTGGGTTGGGTTTTACACCACTTTCAGCAATGTCATGGAGGGGAACTTAAATCTGGGCTTCGGAATGACAAGTAAATGTGTCAAGGCCAACTTGAGCCACAACAACTTCAGCAGAAGAGAATGAATGAAGACATGGTACTTTCTGAACATAGTCAGGCATTGTGATGTACAGTCTGGAAGGTAATTTAAGGTACCGACGGGAATCAGGCACGCACGAACACTGTGTTAGCATTGGGCGTCTCAACGTGCGTGATTCCCGTGCACCCTTTTCAGTTGAGTTGATAGGTTCAACTGTGTTACATAGCCCTGTGATGCACGGGTAGCATTATGCAGATGGCTGTTTCAATGAATGCTCGTTCCACCTGTGACGAACAGGTCTGGTTGTTGATGAAATATAGTGATAGCTAAATAGACAGATTATTTATTCATGCACCGATTGTCTTTAAATGTAATACCCAGTTATGTATGACTGTTTAATAATCTCATACCAACTTTGACTGGAGTAGGTTCGATAGTTTTTCAGATATTGTAGTAAACGTCGGTACCTTAAATTACCTTCCAGACTATAGCTGGGTCTTGATCTTTCATCCACACTTTCAGTGTTAAATAACATTAAATAAACACATTAAATAAACAAGCCCACAGCCGAACAAAAATCTTCATAGAAGGTCTCCAAGTACAATTCAGACACAGCAGCCAATTATCTCCTGTCAAGCAATCCCCGAGACAAGAAAGGGAACTGTACCTCACACTACCTTCCACAAAACAGGACAGATCAAGGCTTGTGTTCCTTATAGACAAACATTCAAACTATGCCGTCATTCAATTAATGTAAAACATTCAAAGGGAGATAACCCAGACTAACCAAGTGTCGTAGCTCCTTGAGGTCTCTGCAGACGAGGTGAAAAACAGACATGATGAGGTTGATGTAGTTGCCATACAATGCTGCTGGGTAGTCACTGGGAGCGTCAAGATTCATGATCTCTAGGAGCTCATCTGATAAAACAACCATCACAGGTGTGACAAAAAACACTTCCACAGGTAGAACATTACAACAGTTAGGTATACAACTGAGACAATGCAACAGTCTTGTAAACAGGTGAGACAATACAACTGTCACAGGTGAGACAATACAACAGTCAGGTAAGCAGGTGAAATTATGCAAGTCTGTTATACAGGTGAGACAATACTACCATCAAAGGTGGGACAATACAACAGTCATGTGTACAGGCAAGACAATATAACAGTCAGGTATACAGGTGAGACAATAAAACAGACAGGTATACAGGTGAGACAATACAACAGTCAAGTATACAGGTGAGACAATACAACAGACAGGTATACAGGTGAGACAATACAACAGTCAAGTATACAGGTGAGACAATACAACAGTCAGGTATACAGGTGAGACAATACAACAGTCAGGTATACAAGTGAGACAATACAACAGTCAGGTATACAGGTGAGACAATACAACAGTCAGGTATACAGGTGAGACAATACAACAGTCAAGTATACAGGTGAGACAATACAACAGTCAAGTATACAGGTGAGACAATACAACAGTCAAGTATACAGGTGAGACAATACAACAGTCAAGTATACAGGTGAGACAATACAACAGTCAAGTATACAGGTGAGACAATACAACAGTCAGGTATACAGGTGAGACAATACAACAGTCAGGTATACAGGTGACACAATACAACAGTCAGGTATACAGGTGACACAATACAACAGTCAGGTATACAGGTGAGACAATACAACAGTCAGGTTGCAGGTGAGACAATACAACAGTCAAGTATACAGGTGAGACAATACAACAGTCAGGTATACAGGTGACACAATACAACAGTCAAGTATACAGGTGAGACAATACAACAGTCAGGTATACAGGTGACACAATACAACAGTCAAGTATAAAAGTGAGACAATACAACAGTCAGGTATACAGGTGACACAATACAACAGTCAGGTATACAGGTGAGACAATACAACAGTCAGGTATACAGGTGACACAATACAACAGTCAAGTATACAAGTGAGACAATACAACAGTCAGGTATACAGGCGAGACAATACAACAGTCAGGTATACAGGCGAGACAATACAACAGTCAGGTATACAGGTGACACAATATAACAGTCAGGTATTCAGGTGAGACAATACAACAGTCAGGTATACAGGTGAGACAATACAACAGTCAGGTATACAGTCGCGACAATACAACAGTCAGGTATACAGGTGAGACAATACAACAGTCAGGTATACAGGTGAGACAATACAACAGACATGTATACATATGAGACAATACAACAGTCAGGTATACAAGTGAGACAATACAACGGTCATGTATACAGGGGAGACAATACAACAGTCAGGTATACAGGGGAGACAATACAACAGTCAGGTATACAGGTGAGACAATACAACAGTCAGGTATACAGGTGAGACAATACAACAGTCAGGTATACAGGTGAGACAATACAACAGTCAGGTAAGCAGGTGAGACAATACAACAGTCAGGTATACAGGTGAGACAATACAACAGACAGGTATACAGGTGAGACAATACAACAGTCAGGTATACAGGCGAGACAATACAACAGTCAGGTATACAGGTGAGACAATACAACAGTCAGGTATACAGGTGAGACAATACAACAGTCAGGTATACAGTTGAGACAATAAAACAGACAGGTATACAGGTGAGACAATACAACAGTCAGGTATACAGGTGACACAATACAACATGGAAAGTAAAACCTCTACTTACTTTTACTATAGTCAGGAAAATGAAGGAGATAGGGTTCCGAGAATCCTGTCCCGAATCTGAACTTCTCCCACACAATCTCACTCAGCATGATGGTACACACATTCATGCCAGTCTGAAACACACAAGCAAGATAGCCTATTGAACTTTTTCTACAACCATGATTACCCAGTGTATTGTATCTCCAGTCTATCATGATAAGTACCTCTGCCACTCTCTGTTTGCTTTGAGTCTAATTTCAGTGACAGGAATCTTCCAATCAAAATTTTTCTTTCATGACATAAGCAAGTGGTGATATCACAAGTACTCGACTCTCCTTTTGATGCCTGAATTGTTTAGCATACAAATATCCTTCAACTTCTTGTTCCCAATTACACAATGGCCAAAAGATATTTGACTGCTTCACATTAGGAGTGAGTGAGAAACTTTGGTTTAATGCCATTTTGGAAAGTATTACAGTTATATCAAGGCATGCCAACTTGATGTGCAGTCATGCAGCTATTAGCGTTTAACACCTTGGTAAAACCCATGAACATGGTTATGGTGCTGACAAACCTAAAAACATAATCACGGTGATCCAGGATTTGAACCTGTACGCATAGGTGGTGAGACCCGTGAAGATCCGGGTAGAATAGGTCTTCAGCAACCCATGCTTGCCGTAAGAGGCGACTATGCTTGTCGTAAGAGGCGACTAACGGGATCGGGTGGTCACACTCACTGACTCGGTTGATGCATGTCATCGTATCCTAATTGCGTAGATCGATGCTCATGATGTCGATCCCTGGATTGTCTGGTCCTGACTCGATTATTTACAGACCGCCATCATATAGTTGGAATATTGTTGAGTGTGGCATTAAACAAATAAACAAACGAAACACAGGTGGTGAATAACATTGATTGCCTACTAAGTGAGTGAGTGAGGTTTTACGCCGCTTTTAGCAATATTCCAGCAATATCACGGCGGGGGACACCAGAAATGGGCTTCACACATTGTACCCATGTCAGGAATCGAACCCGGGTCTTTGGCGTGACGAGCTCACGCTTTAACCACTAGGCTACCCGACTGCCCCTCCTACTAAGTAAACCCACCAATTCCTGAAGCCGGAGAAAAGCTGGCAGGATGTTGGCCTCCATGTCCCGCAGTCTCTCGGCCTTGTCCAGCACCTGCAACACACAACATGGCAGACATGTCATGATTTACCATTGTGCTGATGCATCTAGGGCTGGGACGGGGAACTCGGGTCATATGGATACTGAGAAGGACCCGGGTACCAACAGGACGACCCAGACCCATGGTTAGTCATGTGATGTATTGTTTAATGACAAAAATGATCTAGAACTTCATGGTTACACTGCAAGTCACTCACGTTCGTATTTCTTTCTGACTATGCACACATTCCTTCTGACTTTTATATGTTTGAATAATGATAAAAGTTCAGTCAACTTCAGTGGATGCATGACCAGATCGTTTTATACGTGTATCTAAATACATTTTGTACAGGGCTATGGTCAAACTATTCACCAATCGTATATTTCGTACCTATCTCTTGAGACCTACAGCGGGTACCCGGGTAGGGTCGGGTAATAGGAGGGTGGGTACCCGGGTGGTAAATTTGGACTCATCCCAGCCCTAGATGCATCACAAAAACCTGACAATATGTCACACAAATCTAGGTTTGGGTTCATTTATACATCCTGTGTGAATTTTTACCAATGATACCTACTAAGTTTGACAACAATCTGGCTTGACATCTACTTTGGTTAGTGGTGTCTTAATGCCTAGCACAATACAAAAAGCTAATTTTGCTTACTGGTAATACTATAAGATAATGTAAGCGCCCCATGAAGATCTGGAATAGATAGGTCTTCAGCAACCCATGCTTCCCGTAAGGCGACTATGCTTGTCATAAGAAGCAACTAATGGGATCGGGTGATCAAACTCGCTGACCTGATCGCCTTGTGAGCACCACCTTGTGTTACCAGGGTTACATGGAGTATGGGGAATTCAACACAAAAATAATTGCAAGTCAATATTTTGATGTGTGGCATATTTTGACTTAAGTATAGCAACATGTATCAATGCATCGATTAATACACCCATCTATCATACACCCCTGTCTGACAAGTACAGTTAATTTCTGTCTTATCCAGTATCTGCAACAGCAGATGGAGACAAACATGGGGTACTGAGAACCTATTCCACCCTGGAATCCCCACAGTTGACAATGAGAAAGGCCATCCAATGGTCCGGATAAAGCGACTGTTCACCACAAGAACTGCACTCACAATATAGACTGTCTGATCGTGGAGTTGAGATTCTTGTATCCTCTGCTGCAGAAGACGAACAAAATCGTTCATGTTGTCACAACGTGTGCTGTTGTCGGTGGAGGGAAGGTTGTTGAGGATGTGCTCGTACAGGAAGCGTGAGCTGTAGCACTCAACACAGTTCACAGGAACATGGGGAAGCTGATCATAGAGAAACGATATGAAAAATTATATTTTAACTAAAAACATAACCATGGTAACCTTTTCAACTTAAACTGATATCAGCCATATTGCACATTAAAGCATAATATATTTTGGCGACAACCTCAGAAGCAAAAACACCAAAGCAATGGTAAAGTGTGCTTTAGTTAAACAATGATAATATCTTGTAAGGCTAATGGGCCAAGGGAGATAACTCTTCAAACACAAAGGTGTTCAAACCCTCACCAAATAAAATAGTGTAAAGAATTAATTTGGTTTTGCAAAAGTGTAGATAGTTATTGAAACAAAACAAAAAAGCGGATTTTAAATGGACTCTTGTCAAGTTAAGTTTTTTTGCCAAACTGAGCAAATATCCTCTTTATCCTTTTTATCCTCTTTATATAATTATCATCAACTTTAGTTTTCAAAATTGAAGGACCTGGAGTCCTTGATGTCTTCTGCTATGGTATTTGAATCTATGGATTTTTACTATTACGATAATGACAAAGATCCCAGGACTTTCATACTTCATTTCAAACACTGATCATCATCATCATCATCATCATCATCCTGAGCAGGGGCGGTCGGGTACCCTAGTGGTTAAAGCGTACGCTCGTCACGCCGAATCAGGGTTCGAATCACAACATGGGTACAATGTGTGAAGCCCATTTCTGGTGTCCCCCGCCATGATATTGCTGGAATATTGCTAAAAGCGGCGTAAAACCAAACTAACTCTCATCCTGAGCAACAGTCCCTCCTCACCTTCAGTGACCTGAGGATGCCGTTGATGATGCAGGACTTGCCGGTGGCCGTATGTCCGTACACAAACAGAGCTGGGGGAGTGTAGTGAGCCGCCTGCAAACAGAAACACAACTTGAACACAGAGCTGACATGGAATTCAACCTCTTTTTTTCTTGAAAGAGACATTTCGGTAGATGCTACTACCTTTACAAGCAAACAAGGTACTAGCATCTGTGCCAAACATCACACTGAAATAAAAATAATTTGAAATGATCTTTCACTAAAGAGAAACACCAGATATGGGCTTCACATGTTGTACCCATATCGGGAATCGAACCCGGGTCTTCGGTTTCACGCTGCTTTTAGCAATATTCCAGCAATATCAAGGCAGGGGACACCAGAAATGAGGGTCACACATTGTACCCATGTACCAGGGTCAGACCGCCTCCGTGGTCTAGTGGTAGAGCGTCCGCCCAGAGAGCAGAAGGTCCGGGGTTCGATCCCCGGCCGCGTCATACCAAAAGACGTTAAAGATGGTACTTGTTGCTACCCTGTCTGGCGCTCGGCATTAAGGGGCTAAAACAAGGAGTGGTCGGCTCGGAGTCAGTATACTGTGTCTGAGTGGGGTATTCATGTTAAACTGCAGCATGGTATCTCAGTGAGCTAGCACTATAAATCGGCATCACTCCAGACTAGTACAAGCAGCCACACACACACACGTGCATGCACGTCGCTATATAAGTGCAATAACCTTGGACGCGACCTTAAACCCATTTAACCTCACCTCACCTCTAACCAGGCTCTGTTCAGGGCTAATGATGTGGAGTCTAAAATGGTAAATAATATATGAATTTAATTCCTGTCATCTTGACGACATTGTAACACATTTGCAACTATATTGCAAAATTAACTTCCATCATGCTTTTATGATTGATGACTTTAATAAGTATGCTTCAAACTTAGAAATGATTGAAGAAATTTACTTACATCACCAAAGAGCTGTAGAAGAGTTTCAATCTGTGATGACCTGCATGGAGTTCGCTTCCTGAGATTTTCAAGGGCAGTAGGGTCGTGACCCCAGCAGTAGGTCTCACACTCTACTGACATTGTACAGGCAGACGCACAGGAAGCTGTTTAATCTGGAAAAAAAACCAAATAACTTCATTGAACACATTCAGAGATCATGTTTAATTTGATCAAATATCTATGACAAAGATCATAGTTGTGGTGAGATCCCTGGTTCACATTGTGTAACTCATTTAAGTCAAGCACATGCAAGAGTGAGTGAGTGATTTGGGTCTAATGTCGCTTTGACCAGTGCCAGTCATATATGGCATTAGTGAGTGAGTGAGTGAGTATGGTTTTACGCCGCTTTTAGCAATATTCCAGCAATATCACGGCGGGGGACACCAGAAATGGGCTTCACACATTGTACCCATGTCAGGAATCGAACCTGGGTATTCGGCGTGACGAGCCAACGCTTTAACCACTAGGCTACCCGACCGCCCCACATATATGGCATTAGTTACATGGATATATATCTAGGATTCTAAACTAAGTGCCCCTGGCAGACAAATGGAAACAAAATGTTTCGTTAAAAACTGTTTAACAGTGAGCTTAACAGTGATTTTGATATTTTTATACCATCTTGGTATTGAAAAGTGTATATAGTTTATATTTATTGATTGATATATGTTGGCTTTTTAAAAGAATTTAAACCTCTGGTTGTCCTTAGATGGAAGTCAGCCAAAATGTAATGATATCTAGACCATCCAAAAGATCACAAATATCACTTTTGTCTATAATCTACCACACTAAATTTCTCATCATTTTCAACACATTTTGTCAATCTGTATCAACAATTGTTCTCGAAGCTTAGTAGACAAAGAGGTATTTGGATATGTTCATGCTTTTAACTTGACAAATGCTTAGTCTCTGAAAACATATAATTTTGATAGAAACAAACAACTCCATTTAAATTGAAAAGGAGCCCCAGTGAGATGTGAGTGAACCTCTGGAAAATCTAGACTTGCTTCATTTATGGCTATAGCTCCACGAAAAAGGGCTGGGCGGAAGGGAAAATAATATGGTTCAGGGACTGTGATACAGACCAGGTTCCAACTTACGGTTCTTCATCATATTCATCAGGTATGTTCATTTCAAGGATAGTTTAAACAGGCTCAACCCCCATTCTTTCATTGTTCTTTCACAGTTCAATAGTTTGTATTTCTAAACAATTAATCACACAAATCTACAGGTTTTATATGGAATTCAACACAATACTGTCATATTGATTATAGGCCTGACCATTTCCAATATGGTTTGGTTTGTTGTTTAACGCTGTACTCAGCAAAATTCGAGCTATATGAAGGCACTCTCTAAATAATTGAGTCTGGACCAAACAATCAGGTGATTAACATTGTGCACATCCACACAATTGGGATACAATGATATTCATCAAGTCAGTACGCTCGACCACCAGATCCATTTAGTCACCTCTTGACAAGTTTAGGTTGCTGGGGACCTATATTTGTAACCGGAATCCCCACAAGTTCCAATATGAAATAATATGAGAACAAAAGTAAAGGGTAAGATCTAAGTCTTAAACTCAATATCCAAACCACTTGTAACCCATGTTACGTAACACCCGTATAACACACCCAATTAGCACCCAATATCTTTGTATTACTAGACAGCTGGAACAATAGCAACAATGTAACAATACCCCTGGGATTAACACAGGATTATACTAATACTACAGTGTTATACAAACACAAGGAAAGCTAGTCTGTGTCACTGTGTTCCCATGCTGCAAGTGTGTCCTTTTGTCACAAAAGCCTGTATCATGTATGGTATTATCAATATTACTGACAGTACTGTTGTGATGTAGATAGTTAACTATCCAAATATTCAATTGAAACCAAGTACTTAATTTACCTATTTGCATAAATACAGTTATCTCAAAGAGATTTCATAAGACCAGGACAAATTCACATGTGACATATTTTCCTGACCAACATGAGTTACCTGGGCTCATTTGAGATTTATTTCTTTAAAAAATATATCTGGAAATATTAAAAAGATGAATTCTTTAAAACAAAACATAGAGATTTTTTTTAATCAATAGCATTTTGAATTATCTCTTCGGTTTTTTTATGTTGCAAATTTTAGACCAGCTTTATCCTTACAAGAAGCAAGAAAGAATACTTTTCAATCCCATTTTAATAAAATAAATCTCAAAACAAAAAATTAAACTGGAAAGTACTGTTAATCACTTTTTATAAAGTCTAAAATCTGAAATTATATGTAAATGCTGGTATGACTCTTATGGGAAGTAAACATATCTTTTAATTGTGTAAAATAGATTTCACAAAATAGGGATATATTAGTATAGGATTAGAGCAACTGTCTTGACAAATAATAATGATAAACAAAACATGTTGATTAATTAGTCTTTCAACACATATTATTAACCATTTTGACCCTCATGTTCCAATAATATCAGTTACCATGACAACATTTCAAATTAATTCAAACATTACATGAATTAACAATTATTATTCTTTCTCTTACAAAACATAAACTAAGATAAAACTGCACGTCACCTGTCCCTAATTTTAAGTTAAGATTAACAAACAAGACTTGGATTATAAGCTCCGAATCTTCCTCCAAGCTATACCTTCTCCTTATAACCAAGATGTCCTGTGTTTCTAGCTACAATCACTCAGACATAATCCTAACATGTGCAAGACGACATTCCCGCCACTTTTTCAATGAGAACAAAAGTCCCCACACCTGATTGTCAAGGTGTATGTGTATGCCTAGTGGCTATGGTCTATAATGCCCACCTGTGAATATCAACATCGTTAGTCCCATACAGCTATTTATAGCCGAGCCTTCATTGACAGCACACAAGCAGAAGCAAGAGTCCTGAAAACCTGCTGGACTGGTTTGGCTATATTTGAGTCAGTCGAGAAGCCTACTACAACAGTATACTGAAACAAGCTCTACCGGTGCCTCACCCTAGGACGTTCATTTTGCCCCTTCAGTTTGTGTTTTGCCATTGAGTGACCTGTATCTGACTGACCAGTCCACCACCTGTCCACTATGGACCCCAAGTTCAACCCCGAGACGGCCAAGTTCTATTATTTTAGGTATATGAAGGAATACCGTGCTATCTGTGTTCTATGGGGCCTTCTATCCATCATCTGGTGTATTCTCAATGTGGTCACGTTTATTCAACCCCAGTGGATTGGTGATACCCCGGAAAGCTTCGGATACGGTCATGTCGGTGCCTACTCCTACTGCTACCCCGACAACTCCAGGGCCATCTACGTCTGCAGCGGCACCTTCATCGACTTCAACACCATCCTTAACGACTCCTTCAAAGCAACCACATTTTTTGCCGGAGTTTCCGCTCTGCTCATGTTGATAACGGTAGCGGCCCTTCTCCTCTTCTTCTGCTTCAAGAAAACAGCTGTCTTCATCTTCTGTGGAATTCTCCAACTCACATCAGGTACTGTGCATGTCTCCATGTTATAATCATATTCAAGGTGTGCCTCCATCAGCCATAGCTGTTGACAAGTATAACATGTCCCACATGCTTGCTGTTGTCAACAACGACTGTCATTGCCATCATAAATATTCTTAACAAGTTAGTCTCTATTTATATGCAAACACAATTGAACACACTAGAAGGAACTACAAAGCCATAACTATCAATCAATATATGGGTGAAAGTCTCATCTCCACATAACTTTTTTATATATTTTCAATGTCATATCCACAAAAAAACTATCATAAATATTTTAAATTTAGTTATGTTCTGTTCAAAATGAGTAGATTTAGGACACAAACATCCATATTATTTTGTATTATTTTTTTATGCTAACACATTAGGCTTAAACAGAACAATGTTGTTCATTATACACCTGGGCAGGGGCTAGCTTAGTGGTTAAAGTGTTGGCTCATCTCACTAAAAGCCCATTTCAATTCCCCACATGGAAACAATGTTTGAAGCCAATTTCGCTGTGACAATGTTGGAATATTGCTGGAATGTTGCTAAAAGCGTTATAAAACTAGTCACTCACTCACTGATGATATATAAATGTGCAGATCTACAGGAAAAATTCACATATGTAGATTTTCTCAAATGATCCCCATATTATACACCATCTAACATTTTCCAAAGCACATATGAGCAAAGAGATACAATACCAGCTTTGTTCATTGTTCACTTAGCGATAACACATGGCACATCAAGCATGGCGCCATGCAGAACAAGAAAGTATATACGATAAGTACGACAATATATTGGGGGAAAACAGATAATAACAATCCTTACTCATCCAAATGCCTGAAGGTCAAGGGGTCCTTGTCATAGCCCAATATTATAGGTAATAGATTTAAGGGTCACTATGCTCCAATAATATAGCAGCAATTTTCATGGACCACAGTAACCCCCTTAAATTTCTTACACAAGAATGATCTTTACCCCCCACTGACATCTACCCCATCCTCGACAATACCCCACCATACCCCCTCAATGGCCTATATTCCATACCCTATGTCATCTCACCAACCACACGCCCTCAATAACCACACTATTCCAAACCCTCCGTCATCTCACCACCACACGCCCTCAATAACCACACGATTCCACACCCTCCGTCATCTCACCACCACACGCCCTCAATGACCACACGATTCCACACCCTCCGTCATCTCACCCACCACACGCCCTCAATAACCACACTATTCCACACCCTCCGTCATCTCACCCACCACACTATTCCACACCCTCCGTCATCTCACCCACCAGACGCCCTCAATAACCACACTATTCTACACCCTCCATCATCTCACCACCACAGACCCTCACTGACCACACTATTCTACACCCTCCGTCATCTGACCCATTACACCTCCTTAATAACCACACTATTCTACACCCTCCGTCATCTCACCACCACACCCCCTCACTGACCACACTATTCTACACCCTCCGTCATCTGACCCATTACACGCCCTCAATAACCACACTATTCCACACCCTCCATCATCTCACTACCACACCCCCTCACTGACCACACTATTCTACACCCTCCGTCATCTGACCCATTACACGCCCTCAATAACCACACTATTCCACACCCTCCGTCATCTCACCCACCACACCCCCTCAATGACCACACTATTCCACACCCTCCGTCATCTTACCACCACACCCCCTCAATGACCACACCATTCTACACCCTCCGTCATCTCACCCACCACACACCCTCAATAACCACACTATTCCACACCCTCCGTCATCTCACCCACCACACGCCCTCAATGACCACACAATTCACCATCTCACCACCACACCCCCTCAATGACCACACTATTCCACACTCTCCGTCATCTCACTCACCACACACCCTCAATAACCACACTATTCCACACCCTCCGTCATCTCACCCACCACACGCCCTCAATGACCACACAATTCCACCATCTAACCACCACACCCCCTCAATGACCACACTATTCCACACTCTCCGTCATCTCACCCACCACACACCCTCAATGACCACACTATTCCACACCTTCCGTCATCTCACCCACCACACCCCCTCACTGACCACACTATTCCACACCCTCCGTCATCTCACCACCACACCCTCACTGCCCACACTATGCCACACCCTCCGTCATCTCACCACCACACTCCCTCACTGACCACACTATTCCACACCCTCCGTCATCTCACCACCACACCCCCTCACTGACCACACTATTCCACACCCTCCGTCATCTCACCACCACACCCCCTCACTGCCCACACTATGCCACACCCTCCGTCATCTCACCACCACACCCCCTCACTGACCACACTATTCCACACCCTCCGTCATCTCACCCCCTCAATGACCACACAATTCCACCATCTCACCCACCACACCCCCTCACTGACCACACTATTCCACACCCTCCGTCAACTCACACCCTCACTGACCACATGATTCCACACCCTCCGTCATCTCACCCCCTCACTGACCACACCCTCCGTCATCTCCCCCCATCAACACTGATACCCTTCAGGATGCATTACCAACAAGGGGTGGACAAGTAGCCCAGAGGTCAAAGCATTGTTCATGGCACCAATGACAGTAGTTCAGTTCCCAACATGGTTATCGTGTGTCAGTTCTTGTCCTCTGAGACGACTGCAATATTTCTAAATATTTTAAAGCAAAAGAAACCTACTTATTTATCTTACCAGTTAACTTAAACAATCATCAAATGCTTTGATAAAACAGTTCTCATTACAAATGTTTCAATGAAAAATGTATTTATACAGCGACAGTATCATATACTTCATGCAGGTATCGTTCTTCATAATCCATTTACGTTGACTTAAACATACTTAAACATAGAATAAGTGAGAGAGTGCTATAATGTAAGTCATATGATTCACTATCTCTGAAGTCACAGTCAAAATATAAGATAGCTACACAATAAATTGCAAAGAACAATGAAGAACGAAGTGTGGTTTATTTCATGATAAAACATTCTTCTATCATGACATCATTTCTGGAGATTTGAACACGCTCTCGCAACTTGATGATTTTTTAAAGGGGAGTTTCTATGGATTTGTTCCCCTTAGATGTATCTGGGCAACGCTAATAATTAGGGAAGGTCAAACGATCGAATCCAAAAGCGGGTGAGATATGACAATCGGTATTGGGAAAAAAAGTACAGGTGATTGATGTGAGGATTGTGAGAATATGCGGGAAATACCCACCTGTGCATAAAATGGACTTGTCCGACTTTGCCAAAGTCAGATTCTATTGAGAGAGCAATCATTATTAAAATATGTGTAAATATTTTAAAAGCTTGTACATTTTAGTAACATCCTTAAAGAGCTGTACATAATGTTGATATCTCATATAAGAAATAAACAACTCGTGGTCGTTGTTTATCGTAAAACACTGCAGTAAAAATAAACCACTCAGCTGCGCCCATCATGATTTATTCTCCCATTTATCGTTTATTTCATAAAAAAAGTTCACTATCTCTGAAGGCACAGTCAAACTAAAGTTCAATATATCTGAAGTCACAGCCAAAATAAAGTTCACTATCTCTGACATCACTGTGAAGCCCTGTTGATAAACCAATTAAAGGACAGTAAACTGCATTAATAAAAAGTAACATTTTCACTGATATATTTTCTCAATCGGGAACAACTTTCAAAACCTTCATTCTGTACTGCTACTATTTCTTTCATTATTGAGAAACAATGAAACTATACATGTTATACCATCAAACAAGAAGTATGTACGTATATGTGGTGACCTGTCGTCCTGTGTACAGTGTACAGGTCACATTTTTTTCATTTTGTTGTTGTTTAACGCCGCCATCAGCAATATTCCAGCTATATGACGGCGGTCTGTAAATAATCGAGTCTGGACCAGACAATCCAGTGATTAATATCATGAGCATCGATCCACGCTATTGGGATCGATGACATGCATCAACCAAGTCAGCGAACCTGACCACCCGAACCCGTTAGTCGCTTTACGACAAGCATAGTCGCCTGTTACAGAAGCATAGGTTGCTGAAGACCTGGGCCCCGTTCCACAAAGCGATCACTAAGGTGATCGTAATTGCCATACTTTAACATAGGTTTACGATCATCGTAGCGCTAAGATCCCTTTGAGGAACGGGGCCCAGTTCTAACCCGGATCTTCACGGGTCGTACAGGTCACATTTCAGGTGAGGTCAAACAACACTGGTTGCAGAGTGTAGGTGGATGGGTTCGGCAGCTTCACTCCTCTGTTTTTAGGGCTTCAGGTCTGCCTCATACGAATCATATGTAACACATGTGGTGTCTCCTCAGGCAAGTAACATTGTCCATAATGAGTCTCTGATCACAAAGCAGTGAATGGGTACCCAGTAGGATGCCATAGTAATCTGACTGTTAACCTTCTAGCGCATCACAGGTATCGGAGAATGTAAATTAAGTTACACAGACTGTAACAATAAGACCTATCATGGTTTAAGGCATATTTGATAAATTATACATTATAAAATGTTTCAGCTTCATGTGTTAATCAAAAAATCGTTCAGCTGGCAGGATTCATACCACCACACAGAATGCTTAATGTACACCATAAACACAAAAGACAAATTTTCATAACAGATGCAACACTGACAAAAACGGGGACACGGACACATGTTTGTTATTTTTTTATTTCACCAAGTAAATTATAAGTGGTTGAAAATTTTCTCCTTGACTTGACATCCATGCTCACTTTCGGAAAAGTATTGAAAGATAATTTGTCAGATGTTCTTTCACCAAACCCCTCTGCCTGCCATCTGTCACCAGTGGAACCTTAATGTGTATTACAATACATTACATTACACTGAATGACATAAATGGGGGTTTTGCACTTACTAGCTTCGCCATAATCCAAATAAAGTTCACCTGCCATGATACAACTGAACAACTCTTTCCTGTCAAACACTTTGGTT